ATTCAGTCAGAAAGTAGTTGGTTACCTCATGACTGTCCTGATCTTCATATTTCTTTTCATCATCTACTTTTGTGTTTCAGATTATTAGTCTTATAGTACGGGATAACCATATTACAATTCACAGACCCAAAGAAGCTAAGCAGCAAGGAGGGCCCAAGGGAGGATGTTTGAATCTTACTAAGAAGGGGAAATAGAATAGAAAGTAGAAGTGGTAAAAGAGAGGGAACAGGATAGGAGAGGAAGTACTGAGGGAAATTGGGGTAGGGATCAGTTGTGGGTGGAACAGGGCTAGGAGAGCAGAGGCCTTGCAGAGAGAACAGAAACCTTGGGCAGGACCACCCCTGAGACAAGCTGGAGACCTACAAGAGGGTAGGCTCCTGGGAAGATATGGGAATGACTCTAGCTGAGACTCCTAGTAGAAAGGATCATAGAGGCTGAAGAGACTACCCTCCAACCAGACAGGACTCCTAATAGAGGTAGTGGAACACCAGCCCACCTCCAAAAACTTCAACCCAAAATTTACCCTGCCGACAAGCTATGCAGGGATAAATATAGAGCAGTGATTGAGGGAATATCCAACCAATGCCTGACCCAACTTGAGACAACACTAAGGGAGAATATGAACCCCTGACACTATTAACAACACTCTGCTATGCTTGCAGATAGGAGTCTAGTCTTGCTGTCATCTGAGAGGCTCCACCCAGCAATGGACCAAAATAGATGTTGAAACTCACAGCCAAATCTTGGGTGGAGCATAGGGAGACTTGTGGAAGAGTTGGGGGTAGGATAGAAGGACCTAGAGGGGTACAAGAATTCTACAGAAGACAGAGCCAACTAACCTGGGCCTAGGGGGTCTTGTGAACACTGATGTACCAACCAAGGACCATGCATGGACTAGAACTAGGCCCCCTACACATATGTACCAAATGGGCAGCTTGGTCTTCCTGTGAGTTCCCTAGTAAGAGGAGCGGGAGCTGTCTCTAACAAGGACTCTGTTGCAAGCTTTTCAATCACTTCCCCCTGGCAGGGCTGCCTTGCCAGGCCACTGAGGAAGATGATATGCTCAAATCCTGATGTGACTTGATGTGCTGGAGAAGGTTGGTGGGGGGAGCTCCCCTTTTCTGAGGGATAGGGGAGGAGAGACGGGAAGATTGAGGGAGAGAAGGTAGGACAAGGAAGAGAAGAAGAGAGGAGAGAGGGGGCTATGATTGAGACGTAAAGTGAATAAATAATTTTTAAAAAGTGTCTGCTTTCCTCCAGTCCCAGACTCTCTTGGGGATAAGGGCAGGATATGGGGTGCCTTTTTTTCTCCTTGGGTTTTTCAGTAGATCTATAGCCACTGGTGAAATATAATACTGAGATATAATCACATGATGATTATTAACTCTAATTTCCTCTCTCTCTCTTAATGGGCACTGGGATTCCCTCTCTTTCCTTCCCTGTTGCCATTCCCTTGGAGAAAGACAGGCATCTGCTTATATTTGGAGAGAGGAAAAGAAAAAAACAGCTTATCAGGGTTAGGTGTACAGACCTCTGACCAAAATGGAGGGCACTGAGTACTGCCCTAGACTGTATGACTGTGCTCACAGCTAGGTACCTGATGTCTCCAAAGAGTTCTGCTTCTTCATTGGAAGAAAGTGACACAAAGCTACAAGATTTAAACTGAGGTTAACTCTTTCACAACTTCATTTCTGAGGGACTTGATTGTTAAACTAAGATAGAACCTCTCGTTTTGTTCAACCCATGATGTCCTCACCATGGCCCATGAGGCAAAGTGATGCCAAGGAACTCTTTTGTCTTCTCAATTTCTCCATATGCTTTCAATGAAGCAGCAGCATGGATGCTTCCTGAATGTACATCCCTGTCCCTTCCAGATAGTGATTGGGCTATTGCCCCAGCAGCTTGTAGCTAGGGATCCAAAGGTGGAGCCAAACACTATCCAGGTGGCATCTGTTGGCGTTACCACTTATAACTGGTGGTAAGTCTTTTTGGAATGCCCTCCAAGAGTGAAGACCATGGAATTCCTCTCTTCTTTCTGTTTCCCTATTACTTCAGACTTACACAACTCACTTTCTCCTGCTCTATGTCTACTTCTGTCCACTGCTCTATCGATGCTAACCTAACTCATGTCTCTTTTAATTAAGGTGTAGCTACTCTCATGTAATGCTTTCTGAGTATCCTATTGCTATGTGATCAATGCATTTTCTATAACAGACTACAGAGGCAATGCCAAACTTCCTTAGTGAATTCTTTTGGTTTTGAAGCATTCCTTTACATACTGTATTATTTGGGCCCTGAAGCCATGTGCCTTCAATACAATCCAGCCCAAACAGACAACTTTCATTTTTAGTCATTCCTAATCATTTCAGATCCTTACAGACAGAAAATTTATGACATATTCAAGAAACAATTGTAGCCTCCAATGAAAAAAAAAAGTAAAGCTTGATCCCTACCAATCAAGGAAGCTTGTGGGTTCTGAACCTCTCCTTTCAGGAACCTTAATGCTTGGTACGGTTTCTTCAGAGATAGAGGAAGAGTATGTTTCTTGCTTCTCATCAAATAACTCTGGAATTGACAACCCAGATCTATTGATCTACCTTTCAGATGTATTCCATGCCTTTTAACACTGATATTTTATAAGTTATCAGAAAAAAAAGTAGGAATAACCCATCAGTACCATCAGGATAAAGGCTATGTTGGTAAGAAAAGCCTCATCTTCTCTCATGTTCACAATGAGGGGAGAGAAGATAGATTTCAGGGTCCTGTCAGTGAGGACGGCTACTCTTATTGACCTCTCTTAATGCTCACAAATGAAGGGGAATAAATACTGGGATTGTCAGGAAATGCCCAGATGTACAGAAAAACAGAGAAACCAGAGGAAATTCTAACATCTCCTTTTGATGAGCGGATAACCACTCATCATTCACTTGATCCACAGGCCTTGAAATAAGATACTTTATATCTCTCTGCACCTCTGAGCTTTGCCTAAATTTATACTGGGAGGATTAAAAAAAAAAGTGGACTCTAGAGGGAAATGTCATTAGTAGCATTGTCCTTTTATAGGACACAGGACACTTACTCATCAATTTTTCAGGCTGTCTGCTTTCACTTATGGCACATGCTGACGTGAGTACAGAGTTTTAAGCAATTGGCCACCTTTAAGTCCATCAAAAGAATATTTCAAGTTAAGAGACCTATAAAGGCAGATATGTCAGTCAGCATGATTCTTACTATGCTTACTACCATATACTCATGACCTTATGAATTTAAGCTATCAGACAGATGGTGATAGTTCAAAATAAAATCTTCCCTCTCTGACAGCAACATGAGGTGGGAAAAGAAATTTGCTGTCTTTTTTGATACCTGTTTCCAATGCACAGCACAGCAGGTGCTAAGATACATATGAACAATTTGGTATATTGCAGACAAATGTCCTGGATTCAGCCCTATGTTACTGGACTCAATAGAGAGTCTCCAAATAAGTTAGTAAATTTCTTAGTGACACTATGTCTCATGATAAGAAAGACAGCAAAGTAAAACAAAATCAGTAAATAAAAGAAGTAAACATTAGAATGAAGATATTTTAGTAAACAAAGATTTGTATATGGTAAGACTTTGTCCTGAGGGAAGATGGTTAGATATTTCTAGAATGTAGAAGATGAAGACAAACTTGGAAGGCTAAGAAGGTCACAAAAGTTCTGAGTAGGTTATATAAGGTAAATGATTAGATTTCGGTATGATATACATGATGATAAAAAGATTATTAAAATCTCTAAGGCCAAAGTGCAATCCTTTTAAAAAATCAATGGTGTTCTTTTAAGTTATTGCTCTGCTCGTCATGGGATTTAGAACTAGCTTTAAAAAAGCAAAAAGTATGTGTGATCAGCATAATTAGGATAGCAGAGTCTTAACAACATCTAGATTTGTTTTAAAGATTGATTTTTGCCTAAGCTTCAGCTAAATACTGAGCAAACGTTAAATGTTTCTTTGTTCCTTTGGATGTTCACACAGCACCTTCTGGCATCATGAAGGCATCAGGTCAGATCCAGATTGAGTGCTTCTGGTCCAATGTCCAATGTGCATAGTGTCTTCAGAAAGAGGGACTTCCATCTCTGAGAGGCAACCAAAAGCAATAGCCTATGTTCAGGGAAACTCTTGGGATCCCCTGATCAACAACTCAAAAGGAGGCTTCTCAGACCTGTGTGTTAGGGGTATTTGTTAGCTCTTGGAGGGAGCATTGTCAGCCCAAATGGAAATTTTCATTTAAACTCTACATGTATCTGCATCCACAGATTTATATGTATTACATGCAATTTTAGGTATATAAGGGTGTATTTCAGATATCCTTACTGCTATTTTACCCTCCTTCCTCCTCCTTCATCTACTCCCCTCTCTAATTAAAGCTCCCTTTGTTTTTCCCATTCCCCCAACTTCAAATCACCTATACCCTGCTATTTCTCTGTCTGTTGCTCCCCCACCTCATGGTCCCTCCCCCCTTACTTTCCCGATTTCTGCGGTTACTTTGTATAACACTCACATCTGAAGTTTGGAGCTAGGAACCACAGATGAAAGACAACATGTCTTTTTGGGTCTGGTTTATTTCACATATTATCTTCTCTAACTCTATTCATGAACCTGAGATTTCATGTAAGAAATTTTCTTACATTTTCACTATACCTCCACTGGTGTGTGGGGTGGGGAGTGGTGTGCCTGTATGTGTGTGTAAAGTTGTGATATATATACACACACACACATATATTAACAATTAAAGAAATAAAGGTCATGAATTGAGAGAAAGAGGGTATATGGGAATGGTTGTAGAAAATATAGTAAAAGAAAAATTATGTACTTATCTTTAACCTCAAATACAAATTTTTTTGAAAGGGTAAATATACCAGACTAAAAATAACTAACCTTCTAGGTCTATATTAACCATACTTGGAAGCATATGTCTTTGTAGACAGAAGGACAAAAAGGACAGCCAATATTTTAGGCCTTACCTTCCAAGGTCAACTAGCCTCCAGTGGACAATAGGACTTCTCTCTAAGAGCACCGCCATCTAGTATATTACCTGTGCCCTTCTTCAGTGAGACCCAGAAGTTGAACTCTAATCAGTATACATTCTATAGTGGAGAGTAGGGACATGGTCCCTATTCATTCAAAGGAAGCAGAGTGGTCAGGAAGACCCTGATTCATCCTAGCATTAACACACTTTTTCTTAAGGCTAAAGGAGCAAGGTAGTATCCATATTATCAACCAATACTTGTGAACCAGACCCTTAACTGACCCTGACAGTAAAAACAACTGATTAGTTTTTACCACCTGTATGGTCTTAAACAACCAAGAGTGAAGTATAGTGTAGGAATAAGGTTACTGTGTAACTCAAATGCTGATTTCTGTATCCCCTACATCTAGTTTCAAGCCTTGTTCTAAGAATCTCCGTCTCAGTGTTGTATAAAATCTTGCTCCCCAGTTGTCCCTGATATGTGTTCATGTGAGTGTGTGTTTGTATGTAGGTGTGAATATATATTCTATTAGAGGTCAAAGGACAACTTCTGCAGTCAGTGCTCTCCTTCTGGATGGAGTGCAATGATCAAACTCTGGTCATGAGTCTTGACAGCATTCACTTTTACTCTGAGAGACATACTAAAGCCCTCATGTCTTAGTATTTCACCTGTTTTACATTTACTCTATGATGTTTCAATGCTGGTTTACATTTAAAGGAAGGCTTTTTATCTCTTAATCTCTAATGGAAAATAAAGTGCTAAGAAATTGTAACCATGTTTATTTATTCTTGGTTTAGGCCCCTGATAGTTAATGACTGAGTAGACTACAGATGCAGTACTTTATGTAGAGAAAATCAATCTTAGACAGAGTGTCCTTCAAGACACTGTTTTTGCACCCTTCCTGCAGCAACTAAAGCAGTAATCTCAAAATAGCCAAGAAGTTCATGATTTGACAGGAATACCTGCACTTTAATAGTATTCAGGTCTTTAAAAGTTCCACGTCATATCTAATACATATTTTATTTTAAGTTATGTGTATTTGTACATGAGTGCAGGTATATGTGGAATCCAAAAGAGGATGTTGTATTTCCTGGAGCTGGAGTAACAGTTCATAAATACGCACTTTTTAAAAGTCAAATTTAAATACATCAGATTATAGTCATTATCAACTATATCCTATTGAAGTCTGTAAGTGAATTTCTAGTTTTCTCTAAAGTATGCTAGCAGAACAGTCCCCAAAATAAACTATATTTTGTTTTACATTTGTTTGTTTACTTATTTATTTGTGCATATATGTGTAAGCACTCACATCCCACACTGCTGTGTTAAAATTTCTTCCAAGATTAAAACACACCATTCAGCAGGGAAGTTCCTCAAGCCAGAAAGTAAATAACTGAAATAGCTCCAGGAAGTCCCTGAAACTGATTATATTCAATAGGCCTCCTCCCTACCAGAGTAAACAAGACAAGCTGCAAAGAAGGCTCCCAGACCAGGCAAACTGATTGGAAGAAGCAGAAACCAGACAAACCACCTGGAAGAGAATTTGACTGAGTCACTTGGAAAGGACACTCTCCCTGTTTAGCTGCCTGCAGGCTATGCAGCATGTTCTAGCTTCCCTGCTTTGTGAGCTGTCACCTATGCTGGGGTGGGCTTTGCTGATTCAGTTGTCTCTGAGCCATTTCTGCTCCCATAAGGAACCCCTCTCCCACTTCAATGCAATTCATTCGTTTACCAAATTGGACTTTGGTGCTACCTGTACTTTGGCCTGTCATGGGCTCCCTATCTGTGTTAAGTAGATATGGGTGTTGTATTGTGTCTCCCAAGGAAAATTTTGGTCATAAAATATACATCCTTGTGTGAAGATCAGAGAACAGACAACTTTATTCATTTCTTTCCTTTTACCATGTGAATCCCAGGGATTAAACTCAGATCATAAGACTTGTATGATAAACATCTTTGCATACTGAGCCATTTCAAGGGTCCTGTTTTGATTTTTGAGATAGTATTTTTGGCCTGAAACTGGTGGAGATCCTCTCACGATGGCCACTCCTATGGGGAATTATAGGCATGAATTACCACACCCATTTTTAAAACATATACATTTTAAAATACAATGCTAATATATTCAACAGAGGTGTTCCTCTTAAAATTACTAGTCATCTTTCCCCTGTAAAATCTATCAATATATTATATTAATATTCTGCTATCCTGGGATCTATTCGTAATATATGGGTGTATCAAATGTGTATATATATCAAATATGTCATATATAATGTTGGGAAGAAGAAAAAGAAACTTATTCTAAGTACTACCACTTCATTTTCAGACTCCATTTATCATAGGATGAAACTAAGTTCAAGGTCCTGGGCCCTAGCGGAGCCAGGGACTTCCCAATAGCTGACTAGCCTCTATTGAAAGGAAACAGCCTAGATAGCTCAAGGACAACTTCTACATCTAACTGGCAGGGTCAAACCAAGTTCATGTTCCAAGGCCCAGGAGCCTACTTCTATCCTGACCCATGGAAACTCCCTTGCTCAATCCCTTATGTCAAAATATAATTGGAAAATGCTACAACACAACCAGCTCCCCTCAATTTACAGTTTCATCCTTTAAATATGCTATACAATGTCCCTTCAGGGTCCTACTTCAGATCCTGAGTCTGTGTGGACCTGAACAATCAGTAGTGGCTTTATTAAAGTATATTTTTGTCATCTGCATTGACCTGGTGTTTGAGTTATGGTAGAATTAAGCAGACCCCATAACACTACATACATACAAATATATATATATATATATATATATATATATATATATATATATCAAACAAATTAATCCTCCTCAACACTTGATCAAATTAGCCTTACATGATTTCCTGCCTAGCGCATTTAAAGTCAACCACAATGAACAGCTATATAAAAATAAAATGTGAATTTACATGGAATAGTTTATGTGACTAATCCTGAATACAGAATAAATTATATATCCTTTTTACTCAAGCTAAATTTTTACGATATTTCTCTCTTTAAAAAACAAGCTGTGTGATGGGCAAGGGGGTCCATGCCTGTAAGCCCAACTCTGTAGAGGCTGAACAGTAGGATTATTGAGTTCCAGCCCAGCGTGGGCTAAACAGTAAGACCTTCTCTAAAGACAAACAAAACTCATAATAATAAATCTTTTTAAAGATTTTAATTAGATAATACAGTAAAATGTCTGCCTTGCCATTTATAAGTACAATTGGGAATAGGGTTGCTTCAAAATTCATGCGTAGACTGTGTTCCGTGCCCGGGGTTCCTCACTAGAGGAGGATGCCTGGCAGAAAAACAGCAGCAACCTCAACCCGCCCTCTGCGGCCTGTGGGAAATATTGTCTAGGACCCTGGACAGTGGTGAGGCCTCCACGTCGACGTTCACCAGTGTAGGCTGGGCCCTCGCCCTCTGGGCCTGGGATAACAGCGGCACTCCAGGACCCTGAGGGCTGGATCCCAACCCGAGCGTACACCTTACCACCTTACCGGGAGCCGCCGACCCAGTTCATCTCTGCAGAGCTACCCACGCGGGGCCCTCGCACCTCCAACCTCGCCCCTCGCACAACGAAGGCCACGCAGCAGCCACGTGTGACGGCGCCTTCCGGTGTGGCACCCGGGGGTGGGAGGGGCGGAAGTGGAGGAGCCTCGGCTCACTTCCGGTGAGGCAGCCATGGCTGCCGTGCGTTCCTTCCAGTTCTGCGCTGGGCCGTCGGTCACTGGCTGCACTGGGAAAGGCGGCCCGCTGCAGGTACCCGAACCTGAAGGTGACACGGCCATGCCAGGTTGTCCCGCCCCACTCAACTTGCAGTGCGGCTCTAGCGTTTGGAAAGCGTCGTTGAGAAGAGACATCACACCGGAGGGACTTACCGCCGAGTGTCTTTCGTGAGTCCCTCAAAGAACTTTACGGAACTTTGATTAGCTGTGGAAAGTCCTAGACTTTAAATTCCTTTCTGTACAAACAAAATCCTAAAACAAATTAGATCTTTCTATTCCCCACCCCCACCCCCGTGTTGTTTTTGTTGTCTTCACAAAACATTTCTCTTACAGACTATTATGTTTGGGTTAAAAATAGGAAGTTTTGTTGTTGTTTTTGGTTTTTGTTTTTTTTTTTTTTGTCCCGAACAAATGCACAAAGTAATTTTTTCAAATTGACATGATTTTTTTTTTCAGAGAAGGTGCTGTATTATGAAGCTTATCTAAATTGCTGAGAAATAATACCTAGAATAAATACATCCTATTTAATATCATTAAGCCTAATTTTTATAAAAACTCCACCAAACTGTATCTGTAATTGAGTCAAAACAGGTAAATCCAGCATTTCAGAAAAATGAAGTACCTGTTGATTTTTTAGTTGCCCAGTGTATGTTCAAACACTTTGTTTACTGAAAGGGGAAACTTGGCTATATACTATCTGTTGTTTTTTGTTTTTTTTTTTTTTTTTTTTATTTTTCTATTTGCCTGGAGGTATAAAAAAAAAAAAAAAAAAGATTTGCTTGTTTCCTGAGAGGAGAGTAGGACAGGGAATCTAAAATAAACTATTTCTTCTCCCTGACTAGATTCTCTGTTTTGTTCTCAGTCACAGGGTGTTCTCAGTCACAGGGATGCAGTTGGAGTGTGAATCAGGCTGCAGATTAACACGGAGACACAGGTTTGGAGAGGCTAAGTTTCCCTTCACAGCAATATCTCTGTAGGAACATGAACACAGTTGAAACATTAACCTAAAGAGGGCTATAATCATGATGTAAAGTGAATAAATAAATTAATTAATTTTAAAAAGAAATATTAATCTAAAATGTTATTGTCAATGTCGCTTATGCCTTCAATAAGTAAGTCTCTGATATGTACAGTTTAAAAATCACTATTTAAGGGGCAGTATATCAATTAGGTAATCGTTTGGGAATGGAAGTAACTCAAGAAAACACTATTGTACCAATAAAATATGGTTTAGCATTTGTTGAGAAGAAAAATAGTAACCCACTGAAACTTCTTAAAACTTAAATAATTTATCTTTTCTTTCTAAAGATTGTCTGCTGATTTATAATCATAACAAACTGCATGATGTTTATCTGTATAGTTCTCTTTATTAAACATATTCTTCATATGTAAATATATATGATTTCTAATTCTGCTCTTGATCTTGGCGACCCATGAGACTATCACACTTTTTAGAGTAGGGTGATTCAACTATTGCATTTAAATTTTTTAAAAATACATTTTATTTTATTTATATGGATGAGTGTTTTGTCTATATGCGTGTGTACCACTTTCATGAATAATATTCTTGGAGGCCATGGTGTCCCCTGGAATTAGAGTTGCAGGCAGTTGTGAGTTGCCATGTGGGTGCTAAGAACCTGGATTCTCTGCAAGAGCAGCAAGAGAAGCAAGAGCAGCAAGAGCTACAGCCATCTTTCCAGCCTCCCGCACTTACAATCCTTAAAAATTAATGTCAAATTATTTTTTTTTCAGATTATTTATTCCCTTGAGAAAATTTACTGTTTTCCATATGAAATTACATAAAGTTTAGAAGGTTGAGTGGAATTTTAATAATGTTTATTACAATAAACAAGTCTTTTTTCACTTCCTTTTTTCTCTCCTAGTTTGGAATTCAAACTAAAATTAACTTTCCTTAGGCTCTAATTACTTACTACCAATATAAATAAACAATCAAAAGAAACCACACAACAATCTTAACATCTTTAAAGAATATATAACTGTATTGTTTAACAAAAGGAATACGTTTTGAGCATCCATTCTGATGGCTCTATCACTGGAAGCATAAAGTGGTAACAATGGGAATACATTTTGAACATTCATTTTAGATGGCTTTATCATTGGTCAAACATGAAACAGACTACCACAAAATTAGAATGCATGCATTATTTTGTCTTCTTGAGGCATGCAACAAAGATAGAGTTAACATGGGATGTATGGAGCTGCCCCTGGTATAGCGTCACATACTGTTTATAAAAAACAAAACATTTTAATAGTCATGTGTATCCTGCATAACAACAATTACAAGTATAGTATAGTAGATACATGAACCAGTTACATTATTATTATAAGCCAGTATATGGTATTTGTGATATACAATGTTCAGGAGCACACTAAGTCTTTTAACTTCAGCAGGAATTCAAGTACACGAGCAATGATTTCTGCTATGACATTGATGGTTACAGTGTCCATAGGCAATAGGAAAATTTTCAGTTCTTTCTTAAATTTTCACAGGACCACTTAAATATGGTCCATGGTTGACTGGAATGTTTTGTGGCACATTTCCTACTTTCCTTCCTCTCATGTTGAATCCTTGCTTTGCCCAGTCTGAAGGCTTGAACTTAGTCTTAAGTCTTAGAGCCCACCCTCCCCCATTTGGAGCAGTGCAGAGTGGAGGATGATGGCGAGATTTAAACTATCATAGTTAGGTAGGTCTGTGCTAAATTGGCTGACTCTCCCGTCAAATCCTACACTGACTTTTTTAATATATAATTCTAATAACTGACCCCTTGTACCACAATTCTCATGCCACATTTTTTTATCTTGATTACTTCTTAATTTTTCTCACAAGTCTCTTACCTCTGGAATTCAAAAGTTGCTTCAGCTACCCCATTATACTCCAATAGATTTATTGTCTGGCCTACTGTCTTAGTTAGGGTTTTTATGACTGTGAAGGGATATCATGAACGTGGCAACTCTTATAAAGGAAAACATTTAATTGGGGCTGGCTTACAGTTCAGAGGGTTAGTCCATCATCATCTTGGTGGGAAGCATGACAGCACACAGGCAGGCTTGGTGCTAAAGAGGTAGCTGAGAGTTCTATATCTGGATCTGAAGGCAGCACCAGCACGAAAAGAGAGACTGAGCCTGGCTTGAGCAATGAAGACTCAAAGCTAATTCCCCCCCTCCACTGTGACACTTCCTCCAAGAAGGCCACACCTCCTAACAGTGCCTCTCCCTGGTGACCAAGCATTCAAACACCTTCTTTACCTAGATGTTGTCTTATTTACATCTTTAGTGTTCTTTCAGCCTAGATTTCCTGCTTACTGCTTCCTCTCTGATATGGCTGCTTTTTGTTTGCCAGTGATGTAAGACACCAGCTTCAACTGCCAGCTTCTGTCTAATCTAGGCATCCAGCCTGAACGAACACCCTATCCTTACTGTTTAACTACCAGAAGATGTGACATAAACGGTTTAGTTTTGTATATGTAAAAAGGTTTTTATTTTCCAAACACCAATAACAAAATCCAAAAAGCAAGAAATAAAATATTTTGTCAATAACCATTATGACTCAGTGATCTTCACATTTGAGCTTAGAAAATCAATCCTTTCTCCAGTGTTGTGACTCAAAAAACTCAATGCCTCAAGCATGCTAAGCAAGCACTTTAAGCAAAACCACACAACAGCCCACAAGGTCTCTCTCTCTCTCTTTTGTAATCTTTAATTTTTTTTAAGTTAAAATATAATTATATGCCCACCAAACTTTTCTTCCTTCCAGCCACCCCTCTCTCCCCACTTGCCTCTCAAATTCATGGCTTCTTTTTCTTTGTTATTGTTTTACACACACACACTCACTCTCACACACACACACACACACACACGCGTGAATAAAACCTGCTGTACCTGCTTAGTGCTGCTTGTATGTATGTTGCTTGTTATGAGCACTTAGTATAGGATAACCAGTTAAGGGGCTCATTCATCCCTGGGGAAGACAATTTCTCCCCCCTTAGCTGCCTGTAGTTCTTGGTTTAGTAGTGTCTCTGTGAGAGTTCCAGTTCCACATTAGCATGTCTGTTGGTGTTGCATTTGTTCAGATCCTGGTAAGTGGCTGTGAAGTTAAGGGAACTTGGGTCAAGCTTCCCTTTATTTCTAGGAGACACACTCCCACAGGGGATTCTTCTGGTCCTCTGGCTCTTCCAACCTCCCCACCACTCTACCTTGATATTCCCTGTGCTTAGGGTTTATGAGATGTGCTGTAGATGTATTCATTGGCAGCCCAGGGAGTCTCAACTGCATGTTATGTTGGTGTGCTGCTAACATAGCTGAAAACCAAAGATATGTGCCTTATCAGTCACTCATACGCTGGGAAAGCTGTTCAGTTGAATGCAAACAAATGACCTTTTTATAACAATTCTTATAATTTGCATATATAAGTCGAAGAACTCAAAAGGATACTGTTAAAAAAAAAATTCTTATAAAAGCAAGAGCAATTCTTTGATTCATGAATAACTGAGCCGTGAAGATCACTCAACGTTGGGGAACGCATTCTAGCACAGAGATTTGCAGACTAAAATGATTATTAGCTTAAGGGTCATCTAACACGTAGCAGGTTAAGATGGACAGTTCTAACTTGCCATGCTGTGCTCTAGCGTAAATGCACACCTTCAGGATAAGTCAGTTGTCAAGAACGCAAAAGAGAGGAGCAGAGAAAGGGACTATCATGCAAAACCACCTTTGCCTTGCCTTTAGAAATGACCTTCACCTTTTTTTTTTTTTAAATATGCAAAGTATTGCATGACTATTGATCTTTAAAAATCTCCCACTGGGACTGTGAATAACTTTTAAACATTCTTGATTTTTATCAGCTATAAAAAAAATACTCATAGGAAGGAGCCAGCAGATTACCTGTGAGCGTAAAGAAAAACTTGAAGAAAAAAAAAATATATCTTGAAGAAATGCGCCTTAAAACGCCGCTTTTTAAAAATAAGTCATCTAACTCCAGCTCAATTCCCAGCTGATTAAAGTCTTACAATAAGGCTACATTACTTCCAAGTAAAAACAAAAGGGAAAATCTTTAAGCCACTTTGTAAGCAAATATAAACGAGCCAGATCAACATTGCTAAACATGACAATCCTGGGGCGCGAAGATTTTGATTACCAGGACAAGTTAACGCAGGGGAGCGGCGGAAGAGCTCCGACTGTAGCAGATAACTATTCTGCAATGCACAAGCTTGCCTGGAGTTTATTCACAAGGGACACCCTCAGTCTCAGTCTATCTAATATGTTCCGGGAATGTCTGAGAAAACAGAAGTAAGGGCGGCCCTGGGCGGGGGCGGGGGGGGGGTGGGACAGACAGGGACGCGGCTTTCTCAGGACAAAACATTCTCCTCCAACTGTGTTTGCTACTTTTTTTACGGCCCTGGCGCTTATCTCTCTTGTCCGACTCCTTTCCTTTGGCTGGTTCCGTTAACCATCTTGAGACTCCACCCTTCTCTCCTCGGTTCTTTCTGCGCTCATTAAAGCTGCTGTAAATCTTCCTTTCCGTCTGCCCTTTCCCTTGTAGAAATCTTAGAGACGGGGGATGTATATTCTGAAACTTCCGAGGGTTTCTAAGTGACGCTGAGCATGCTCAGTAGCTCAAAGGGAAGGTTTGTTCTCCAGCAGCTGACCTGATTTGACCTCCCCAGAAATAGATATTTAACTCTTTGAACTCCAGTTTAAGTGTAGAATTTGTTTTGGCTCGCTCTTTCTTTTTAAGGTTCAAAGGGAAGAGGCGAGGAGTCCAGGGTCTCACCGCCCTCGCAGCCAATGAGAAGCCCGGGGGAGGAGCCTGTCCGGCTCTGGCTGCTGAGGGATTCGCCCCCACTGGATGCGGTGGAGTTTGAGCTTTGCTGCATCCATCACTGAAGAACAAAATAACTAGGGAAGACAGGCTGCAGAGCATGGGAGGCTGTGGGGTTTTCTGAAACGTTTGTCGGGCTTTTGGCGAAGCATGAGCTTTTAAAAGGAATTCTTTTTAAAGAGACCCATTTGTGTAGCTGGAAAAGATGATACACATGCTAAATGCATCAGCCTATCGGGTGAAATGGACCAGATCCGGGGCTGCTAAAAGGGCTGCCTGCCTGGTGGCTGCGGCATACGCTCTGAAAACCCTCTATCCCATCATTGGCAAGCGTTTAAAGCAGTCTGGCCACAGGAAGACGAAAGCAGCAGCTTGCCCGCCTGCAGAGAACAGAGAAATACTGCATTGCACAGAGATTGTCTGTAAGAAGCCTGCACCGGGACTGAATGCAGATTTTTTCAAACAGCTACTAGAACTTCGGAAAATCCTCTTTCCAAAACTTGTGACCACGGAAACGGGGTGGCTCTGCCTCCACTCAGTGACTCTAATCTCAAGAACATTTCTGTCTATCTATGTGGCTGGTCTGGATGGGAAAATCGTGAAAAGCATCGTGGAAAAGAAGCCCCGGAGTTTCGTCATCAAATTAATCAAGTGGCTTATGATTGCCATTCCTGCCACCTTTGTCAACAGCGCAATCAGGTACCTGGAGTGTAAGCTGGCTTTGGCCTTCAGAACTCGCTTAGTAGATCATGCCTATGAAACCTATTTTGCCAACCAGACTTATTATAAGGTGATAAATATGGACGGGCGGCTAGCAAACCCAGACCAGTCTCTTACTGAAGACATCATGATGTTCTCGCAGTCTGTGGCTCACTTGTATTCCAACCTTACCAAACCTATTCTAGACGTAATCCTAACCTCCTATACACTCATCCGGACGGCCACATCCCGAGGAGCAAGCCCCACAGGGCCCACGCTGTTAGCAGGACTCGTAGTCTATGCCACTGCTAAAGTGCTGAAAGCTTGCTCGCCCAAATTTGGTACCCTGGTGGCTGAAGAAGCTCACAGGAAAGGCTATTTGCGGTATGTTCACTCCAGAATCATAGCCAATGTGGAAGAAATTGCCTTCTACAGAGGACATAAGGTAAGACAGTCATGAAAGCAACGGGTGAAACATGAGACCGTTCAAGCAGCCACTGCACCGCTAGATACCATCTGTTGTCCTGTTGACAGACCCACTTTCTGAGCATTTTAGAGTCCTCTCGTAGCTAGATTGTGCTAAAATACAAACTTCATTGGTCCTTTAAATCACCAGCCATTAGGGAATTAGTGTAAACTTTTCTGAAGTTCCGTGAGAATAAAATTTCCATACGTTTTAAAGTGTTCTCCCTAGCCTCTGTTACTCAAATATGAATGAAATGAATGACCTCAAAGGCGTTTTCTTAAAACTTAAATACTAAGTTGGTGAGTGGTTCTGCACATTGTGAAGAAAATGCATGCTTGGGAACTAAGTAAACCTCTTTGGACTGAGATGAAGATATTCCGGTAGTACTCTCTGTTGTTCTTTTGTGTCCAGGAGAGGGGAACTGCTCTCAAAGAGAAAACAGTTTGGACACTTTTGCAAAACTGATCAATGAGAGAGTGCGGATTAAATGCAGAGGCGGTGTGTGTAATGAAATGGCATTTTCTTTAGGTTAGTTCATGCTGAGCACATAATTTTGACAGAGACAATTACATTTTGCCTAGTAGAGAACTAAAAAACTAAGATTAGAGAGGACGGGAGTAGGAAGAAGCATTAGGGTACTGTTTTTAAATTCCATGGATCTTCAACAGTAAGATAATTAGCCCAGTTATGTACAATGTACAATTTTGGTGTGTTACAGTTGCTTCAGAATGTTGAGTATGATATAAATTGGGGGGGGGGGCACATCTGAAATCTTAATGCTAATGGTTTGGCAATATATATTGAAGTGTTTATAGTTATATTTTAATTACCAAGCAGAATGATGTTTCTTATAGAACATCAAGAATTAGCACTGTTTCTTTTTCAATAGTAGGAACAACCCAAAGAAAAATTCTAAACTGATTTAGGAGCTCTAGTCTTACTTGAAATTGGCCTTGTGTATTATGTACTCATTTGTTATTTCTGAATCATTGAACCTGATATAAAGAAGGTTTTTTAAATCCTCCTCGATTACAAAACAAAATCTGGAAAATTGAGCTAATTCAAAGGTGTCTAACTATACATGTTTTGTATGTTTTTAGTGTTATCAAGAATGAATGGCCTTAACAATACTCCAATCTTCATAGAACATTATTTAACATCTTAAAATTTTAAAATTACAATTATAAGTCTTTCTGTCTCTGTTTTCTCTCTTTCTGCCTACCTCTCTTCCCCCCCCCCACATGCTCTGAACTATTGGAAATAGTACCTAAGGCCTTATTATGATAGCAACATGCAAGTGTTCTAACACTGAGCTATGACCCATCATACTCATGTGTATTTCAATCAATATTATATTCATTCTATAACATGTTTTCATAATACTACATTATGAGTAATGATAATATCTAGTTACATTTATTGGTTGTGTAAATGTCTCAACAGTGGCTATACTAAATAAAGCAAACTAATATATCTATATCATTAGAGAAATCTTTAAGCAATTACAGTGCTTATTTCCATAGCTCATGCTGGATTTAATTCTTATCTTTTTCCCTTTTTAGGTAGAAATGAAGCAACTGCAGAAAAGTTACAAGGCTTTAGCTTATCAGATGAACCTTATTTTATCCAAGCGTTTATGGTACATCATGATAGAACAGTTCTTGATGAAGTATGTGTGGAGCAGCTGTGGACTAATTATGGTGGCTATACCTATTATCACTGCAACAGGCTTTGCAGATGGTGGTAATAACATTCATGCTTAATCTTAAATAGACACTCAACAGTGTTTCTCTGAGATGCCATTGCATGTTACATGTATTTCTGTGTAGACAGCCATTATCTGTAGTTATCTGTACTCAGAAACTGTGGTAGTTTTTAGCGTTCAAAAATGGGACCATGAGTACAAAAGAAGCAACAGGTGGCTCAAAGGACCTTGCCAAGGAGGTCTCCTGACATAGTGTTTCTGGAAGTCTACCTGTAGCAGTTTTAACTACATTGTTCAATGACATTTTGGTTTACATTTAACCACAAGACAAATCAATATCTTCAGAAAGGGTATGACACGAGCACACCTCATGTTTTCTTCTTAACATCCTATGGGTTAAGCATACAAATTTTCTATAACTACATTTATCCTGACTTGTGATTTGAAAGCTGGTTGGCTACTTTAGACAATCAGGAATGTTGTTTTGGGGTGCATGTAGGTGTCCTGGAGTGAGTTCTCCTCTAGTAATGCAGACACTTTTCCTAAGGCATGATTTGGTGATGTTTCGTGGGTGAGAGTTACCAAGCTGCAGTTAGCTAATTCTACCTTATACCTGTCTCTACAGTTCTTACCACCTTTTTGTGTTGTTGTTGTTGTTGTTGTTGTTGTTGTTGTTGTTGTTTTGGTATAACTGTGAAAGAGAAGGGCAAGAAGAACAATGTTGCCATGTTCTTTCTGTGTGAGAGTTTGAGTCTTTACTGGTAGGAATGAAGGGATCACAATTAGAGTCCAGCCTCCATAGGTTCACATTCAAGAATTCAGCCAAGAACAAAGCAAAAATAGGAGTGTAAAGCAGATATAGAGAGAACCTGTCCATAATTAACACATACATTTTTTTCCCTAAAGAATCCAGTGTAATGACTGTTTCCACAGCCTCTGTATTTGATGAAGTGTTGCAAATAATCTGGAGAGATTTAAAGAACACAAGATGATGTAAACCTTGTAATCACTACAGCACCTTCTTTAAGCTATTTGGCATAGGTAGATCTCAGACTCTTCAGGGTCTGAGCCAGCCTCCTTATTCCCCACAGATACCAAAAGATGGCTTTAATTGACGAAGAAAGATATTTTTCTGTTCCCCCAAAATCAAATATCCCTTTTCTCTTTAGAACCACTTGATCAGAATTGTGCCTTTTGAGGGGTGAGACTAAAGCAGACTTTCAAGAGAAATGGAGTTTGATTTCACACTTAGCCCCCATGAGTCCTGCTGAGACCCTCTTAGTCACGTCAAACTCTCCAGGCTTTGAGTGCTTCTTGTGGAAAAATGAATCAGGAAAGGCTACTTCAGAGTGGTTTGTGGGAATGTAGCACAGAAATGCTTATGAAGTACATAGCTATTGCACCTGATGTGTGATAGTGAGTGCTGGAAAACAAACATGTAAGAGAATTTGTATTATTTTACAGGTGTTTATGTAGAGTTAGGTCTTAATGGCTATTGTTTAAAGTGAGGTAATAATAAAAACAAATGAAAATCTATATGTTTAATTTTTAAAGTTGCTTCAATAGTTTAAACCATTTTTATTTAAAAATTGTCAAATTTGAGTCATTACTAAGCTAAATATGGTCATTTCAGTGACTGTGAGTTGTCAGTCCTAAACACATAATGAATTTACTCCACCAGTAAGCTGCCAAATAGGGAAGGGAAATGGAATTTTATCTGTTTTTATGTGTTCAAATTTACCAAGAAATCACTTTAAATTTCTAATGTAAAAGGTATTCTTGGTAATAGTATTCAAGACATAATCCTTTTGTAAAGAAATAACTACTTTCCCAAAGAGTGAAAGAGAGGACACTGAAAAACATACACCCTTAAGACTGGTTTTGCTAAGAAATTTGGAAAAACATAAATGAAAAAGTTTTTCTTAAACTAATTAACATTCATCAAAAGGTTTATAGTAAATGTGCATTAAAGATAGTCCCATTAAAGAGCAATGCCATTAGCAGTGTTTGGTCTTATTAGTGCAATCCACACCGAATAGAAAAAAAATGCAGCTATTAATGGTACAAATTAACCCCACTGAGGCTAGTAAGAAGTAAACATGTAGGCCACGAAGCTAACTAGCTCACTTGCCAAGAGCTAATGAGATGTCTAAAATTAATCCCTACAAATACTAAGAGTACGAGCTGAAAAAAAAAATGTTATGCTGAAGTTATAAGTGAAACAAAGTATCATGTAAAGCACATTCCAGAAAAGGACGACTTAAGACCCTCACAGAAGAGAAATGGACCCTCCTGCAGAATGATATTTGAGACTGTTTCCAAGTCTATAGAACTCAAGGTTGCTATATGCATTCATATATGCTCATGCTCCTTAATATATTTGACTCCCAGTGAAAATACCATTCCATTCAGTGGAAATATTTTTTTTTATGATACTGATATCACTTTCAGATTGAAGGCCTAGAAATTTTATGTCACAGTCTTTAATCCAGTCTTAAATTTTAAGTCCGGCCATGGTGATGTAAGCCTTTTTTACTCCAGCACTCTGGAGGCAGAAGCAGGTGGATTTCTGTGAGTTCTGAGCCTTCTTGGATCTACAAAGTGAGTTTCAGAACAGCTAGGGCTACATAGAAAGATCCCTTCTCTCTCTCTCTCTGTGTGTGTGTGTATATATATATATATATATATATATATATATATATATATATATATAATGACTTAGTTGTCTCTTGTGTTACAGATGAAATAATTGCTTGATATTATACATTTCAAGGCATAAGAAAGTGTGGGACAAATGGGTGAATCGATGCCTAGAGACACAGCCCAGTGAGTATGAGCACCTGCTGCTCTTACAGGGAACTAGAGTTCAGTTCCCAGCCTCCCTATTCAGCGGTTCACAGGTGTTTGTAACTCTAGTTTCAGGATATGTAACATCCTTTGTTGGCCTGCATGGGCAGCGTCTCGCCTCATATGCATATACCCTTCTATTCCCCCCACAGACACATACACAATTAAAAATTTAAAATAAAAATTTTAAAGTATGAAACAGAGTAGGAATATGGAAAAGAGAATGAGTAAGATAGATGAAGAAAGGGGTATGGAGTGGGAAGAGAAAGAGAAGGGGGAACCTTGGCCTGATGTAATAGTTAACCAAGCTTTGGGAACACTACATAAACTTATAGGCCTTAGTTTTCTTAACTGTGTGGATAATATGTATCATTCAGAGTTGCTGTGAAGTTGTAATGCACTGGTGTGCCTTGAGACAATCCTTGGGCAGGAGTGAAAGGTCGAGTGGCCCATTCTTGTTAGCATGTACCACATTCCCAGCCTGTGGGCTCTGGAGTTAAAGTGCTTGGGCTGAAATGGAGGCAGTTCTGCTTACAAGTGACTCTGAGAACTGCTTTTTTTGTGCTTCAAGTTCTTGATATCCAAACTAGGGGAACTTAGCAGGATTGTCATAAAGACTGATACAAAACTTAATACAGTGCCTGCTCATAGAAAATAATTAATGGATATTTGCTGATATCATTATTGCTGTCGAAAGGGAGCAAAGATTTGAAAGTGAGTAGGGAGTCAAAAATAAGACTGTTTTAGGGCACTGGTTTTCAATCTGTGGGTCATGACCCTTTTGGGAGTCGAATGACCCTTTCACAGGGGTCTCGTATCGGATATCCTGCATATCTGATATATACATTGTGAATCAAAACAGTACCAAAATTACAGTAGTAGCAACAAAAAATAATTTTATGGTTGGAGGGGTCACCACAACATGAACAACTGTATTTAAAAGGTCACAGCATTGGGAAGGTAGAGAACTACTGGGTTAGGAGAAAGAACCTGTATAATTTTTGTCATCAGGAGAAAAAGAAAATCAAAACTGTCATAGCTCTACCAGGCCACCCTTTTTCAATGTCGAGTGGACGTTCATAGTAAGGATAGGGTATTTTTATGTAAAACAGAATTGGTTCTAGAACATGCTGTTTCCCCCTTCAGAAGAGGGCCTCGGGGCCTGTAATCTAAACCTCCTGGATTGTCTAACTCACACCGGTAGTTACCTGGAACGCTAGGGATGGGGGAATACCGTGACTCCCGCTCTACTGCCTTCCCTCCTGCACAGCTCACCACGCTGAAACTTGCTCTGCAAGCTGACAGTGTGAACTGATGTGCCAGCCTCGGAAATGGAAACATCCTAGTTTTAAGTTATTCTTCCGCTTATTATTTTAAGGCTGCATATCGCCTTTCTTTGTCCTGAGAGAAAGTGATTAGAGGAAAACTTGTTAGCAGTGACTTTGCTCTTCACTAAAGAAACAAATGTGCTGAGACATAAAGTAGGTGAGCATTTCAGGCCGTGGATTCATATCTCTGAACCTAAGGGACCTGGCCTTATCAGAGAAATAATGCTACTGTCACCCGCTTCCATGGTAGCTGCCAAAGAGCAAGCTGGCTTAAAAGTTACACACTGTGGGGAAAATATTTATCTTGCTGTTAAAAGCATGAAGAAAACTCAGAAGGCATTAATCTGCCAATGCAATACGGGAGCTTTGATTCCATATCAACCACAGGTCCATCTGCACAAATGGTCTTTGTTCTTGACAGAGGTTGTCAGTGAAAGGTCAAACCCCTTTTAACCCACATTCATAAAACCCAGCTATCAGTTGAGACAGTGAGCCAGATGGTCAGAATCCAAGCTTTGTCTTAGTTTTAGGCCACAGAGGGATTCACTGTTTTGGTAGCTGGCTGAGAATCCCATGGGATTTTTCTTGTGGTTATCTACGACTCATTATGCATTTTAAATGTATTTTCAAAATACCTAGAGCCGGGTGTGTCATGTGCACCTATAATCCTAGTACTAGGGGCTGGAGCTGGAGGATCACAGTTTAAAGACCAGGCCAGTTTGGACTACATAGTGAGAAGAAATCAAATGTGTACATCCCAAAGGACTGACAGAGCAGGACATGTTAGCGATTCAGCCGAACTACAGGATGGAAAATGTTTGAGAAAGGAGGAAAATATCAAAATGATTAGAGCTGGCCCTGTTCAAATTCCTGTTGTTTTTTGTTTTTTGTTTTTTGTTTTTTGTTTTTTTTAAAAAAAAAAAAACATACCATATTTGTTTTTGTATATTTGTTAGTAGGTTGCTGTAAGGGTATGGGCATGTAGTGTCTATAAATGTTTATAAGGCCCTGTGCATGTGTGCACATGGGTGCTGTGTGTGAAGACCAGAAGGCAATGTCAGGCATATCTTGAGATATCTCTCCACCTTTATTTTCATGTTTATTTACTTTTAATTTTTAAAATAGTATTTTCATTATTTAAAAGTGTCATTGTGCACACATGCATTTACTACTGTGTGTGTTTCTGTGTATGTAGAAATACAGGCAATTATGTATGTGGAGGTCAGAAGACAGCTCTTGGGAGTTGTTGTCTCCTACCGTGCAGGATCTGGGGACCAGAGTCTGGAATTAGGCTTGGTGGCAAGTGAATTTACCTACTGCAAAATCTCACCAGAACTCCACCCCATCTTTTCTTTTAAGCCTGGAGCTCACTGATTTCTCCTGGCTGGCCAGTGAGCTCCAGGACCCTCCTGTTCTTCTAGTGCTAAGGTGACCACCATGCCCAGGTCTTTAAAAGAGCATGGGGACAGGGAATCCAAACGCAGGTCATGCCTACGCGGAAGCACTTTGCTGTCCCAGCTCCCTCTATTTAGTGCTTTTCTTGAGGATGTCAGGAGAGTTTATTACACAGCTGGAATAGTAACCAAAGAAGTTGGACAGGGGAAGGCTGAAAGGAGGCAGAATGGAAACAACCCAATGCCTGTAGAATCAGTCGTGCTAACTCTTGGTCCAAACCAGTAATGCAAAAGGGAGCTTCTGACAAAACCTAATACACATATGGTATTTGTTACATATAACAACGATAATAACAATGAACTTTGTTTCTAGGAGATTGCCGATAGTTATGAAACATTGTTATTTTAGCCATAAGTTATTGGTATAAAATAAGACAGTACTTGGGGAAAGAAAACTCAGTAGTTTTGGGATTTTGTCTTAGATCTAGAAGACGGTCCAAAGCAAGCTATGGTGAGTGACCGGACAGAGGCCTTTACCACCGCCCGGAATTTACTAGCCTCTGGAGCTGATGCTATCGAAAGGATTATGTCTTCATACAAAGAGGTATTTGAATTTCTTGCAAATTTCCTTAAAATATGAAAGGATCTGAAAATAAAGTTAAGTGTAAATTATAAAATATGCATAGCACTTTAAGAACAGTTTTTTTTTCCTCCCTCTCTCTACTCAAAACTATCAAGAGGATAATTGAGGCCAAGGGAAGCAACTCTGAAGTGAGGTGTTCTGTTATTCCTGTTTACAAGCATGATTTTACTGCTTTTAAAGGAAGAGAGAAAAAAATAGGCTCTTGTCTGGCCTGTAGCGCCCAGGCTTAATTTACATTCACAGTACATCATCTGCAAATCACGTGAGCTCCTCAAGCTTATCTGTCTGGATCCCCACTTCCCCACCCCTGTTTCCTTACTTATAAATTGGGGTAATGACAGCAATGATTTTGTATGCTATAAAAAGTTCATAATGTGGGGTACTATGTCAACACATTTCAACACCCAATACATGTTAGTTAATAATACCCGCTTTATATCTTGCAAACTTTGCTCATCCTCCACTGATGAAGTCTGCCATCTTTGAAGCATGTGCGTGGGCTTCTTTGTCTCTGCCACTTTACTACAGTGTGGCTCTTTCCCCTGTGCCTTACCCTGAGCTCTCTGATAACCATCACATTCATCTTTCTAGTCCTAGTATCCATTCCAATACTTAAGTATGTGGCTAATAAGTGTTTTTTAAAAGAATGTTTAAAAAAAAGAGCTTTAGCTATTACTAGATTGAGATCAAAATGACATTTCAATTCAGATATTGCTAAAGTTTCTTTTAACTAATCTTGTAGATGATAAAGCGAAATGAATTGCTTGAGTACCCTTGTAAATTTATCTTTAACAGATGGAGTATGATACAACTTCAAGGTTTCTGAGTTTCTTACAGAGATGATCTACTGAACTGAATTTTCTTTTCACCATAGAGCCAATGGTTCTATACCATTGGCTTAAACTGTGCAATTTAAAAAATTGAAACAGTAATTTTAATAATCTGGAGATACATATTTCGAGATAGTCTTTTTTCCATGTAGTTCATTTTATTATTAAACAGTAAATATTTGTTTTTAAAATTAAATGACACAAACTTACCCATCTCACATTAAAATGGGCTAAGTCACAGAAGGGCCATCATTTAACTATTCTAGATTATCTTCAATGGTAAATGAGTTTGTTTGTCATTATCTTGACCTTGTATGCTTTGAATTTAAAAATGTTCACTTCTTAAATGCCCTGTGCCCTTGTGACAGGAAAAGAAATCACTGTGTCTCTTATACTAGCTCCAGGGGAGCAAGCCTCCTTTATATTCAGGATTCTATATTGTACAAACAACCCCTGGTGTGTGCCAAAGCATTTTTGTCTTCTGGAATACTCTCAGATTAGCGTCCATCCTAATCTGTTTACCTAATCTGTTTATCCTGCTTCTTTTGAATTTATCTGTAATTTTCGTTTTTTTTTTTTTTTTTTTCTATGCTAATATTTACATTTGCCCAAAGGGCTGCTTGGTTTCTGTGAACCTGACACAAAGCTGGACAAATCTAGAAAGAGGAAAACTTAATTGAAACAATGTCTCCGATAAGATTGGGCTGCAGACAAGTCTGTGGGCTCCTGTATTGGTTAATAACAGATGTGGGAAGGCATGACCCATTGTGGGGGACTAGTGTCATCTGCCCGTCCTCAGCAGGAGGTCCTTAGTTGTATAAGAAAGCAGGCTACGCAAGCCATGGGAGCAAGCCTGTGGGTAGCATTCCTTCATGGCCTCTGCTTCAGTTCCTACCTGCAGGTTCTTGCCTTGACTTCCTTCCCTGACTTCCTTCAGTGACAATGCGTGACCTGGAAGTTGTAAGATAAAATAAACCCTCTCCTCACCAGGTTGCTTTTAGTCATGGCATTTTACCACAGCAGTAGAAATCCTAACTAGCACAACCCAAGTTTCTTTTAAATCCATGTTTTGTTAAACCATCTCTCTCTTTGCCTGTACTTAAGAATGTGAGACTTTCTTTAAGAAGTCGAGCCATCCTTTAGATAGTTATAACATTAAAATACATCAACAAATGGTCAAATTACAGCACTCTCTTCAGGAGAAGAAGGCCTGTGACACTGACACCTATCATTATTGCTTAAGATTTTTACTCATGAAGGTCTCAACCAACTGCCAGCATCGCCGTGCTAATCTATATATGACGGTTAGAAGACATCTTTTGTGACATGCATACTTATCGGTGTCAGTTTCCCAGTTCTTTTGTTGAGACAAATGATATGGAGAAGATGAGTTACCTTTCACCGCCCCCTGAAAGCAAGCTGTTCTGGCATAATTGAAAAACAGCAGGAGCTTGACCCACATGGACATCTGGCAGAACCAGAGCAAAGGGTCTTTCTGTGGAGCTCTGTGGACTAAAGCAGAATCTTATTTCATCTTCTTTCATAATCTTATGTAGAAAAAAAAATCATGTATTTACAGTCTTCCTTGAGCGTTTAAATCATATTTGGCTTGAAAATAATCTGGACTGTGGTTCTGGCTGACCTTAAGAAGGTCCTGATGCCTCTCACGGGGCTCCCTTTCACAATGTGTGTGTCCCTCTAGCACCAGTACTCCTTGGCTCAGACGGGAACTTTGGCAACATTTGGCTTAGAAACATTCATTTATAAATAGGAAAAAGTACTCTGCTGTTTAGGATGTTCACATGCACACATGCTTAAACACTCATGCTTGTTGATGCTGCTTCCTTTTGGGAAAAAAAAAATGCTTTGGGTTATGTTTGCAGATAGAACATATGGCTGAATGAATCGTTTGCTTTTTAAAATTTTAGCTAGTAAATAGAATTAGAGCTAATGCCATTGTTCTGTTTCAAATTCTCTGAATATATACGTGTCTTTATGGAGGAATGAGTCCAGGGCTTCAATTAATCTAGACAAGTGCTCTACCATTAGGGTAGATACTCAGCCTGATAATCTATTTTAAATAGGAGAAAAAGGGAAAGGGATGGTAATGGTAAATGGAGGCTTTTAACCCAGGCAGGGATTAACGGGGATTGGAAAGCAGGGCAGGCACACCTCTGTCACTATGAGGTAAGCCAGAGCTGCAGAGCAAGACTCCGACCATTTTATTTAAGTGGACCAAATCACAAATTTGACTAAAAGACCCCTATGACTCATTAATATCATGAAAGCTTATCATTTCATTTTGAACACTGAGGTAAATCAATATTTTGTTTTGTTTTGTTTTGCAACTCAAATGGCAGCTGTGCTGTTGTCTTCTCCCTTTATTGTCCTTAATAAGCCCCTTGCCTCTGTTTCAGTAGTCAAATGTATTGGGGTTTTTTTGTTTGTTTGTTTTTATCATATATAATAATGTAGAATTGTTAACAACAAATCAAGAAGTTTATTGTAGGCTTTGATTTTTTTAGTTTATATATTACACAATTTTATAGAGTTGTCTATCATGACAATATTAACTTCTTTCTTATATGTTGATTTTAGATCACTGAACTAGCAGGCTATACTGCTAGAGTATACAATATGTTCTGGGTTTTTGATGAGGTAAAAAGAGGCATTTATAGGAGAAATGCCACTCAGGAGCCTGAAAATCACAAACAGAGTGGAGGTAACATGGAACCACCCCTGAGTGACACCCTGGAGATCAGAGGTAATAAACTGCAGAGGTTTTGTTTGTTTTGTTTTACATTTTCCTTACACTTTAATATCATCTTATGAAAAGAACTAAATGTTTCTTCTTTAGAAAACAGCTTTTCCTAGTTATAAGAAATTAGTATTTAAATGACAAACATTATTTAAACAGCAGTCTCCAATGTTAGTGTTGCAGTTGACGATGACAAATAGTGCACTAATAAGAAAATATGACATTTATAGTCAGGAAAATATGTTAGCATTGTATTTGGAGACAGCACATATGGCTGGATGAATTATCTGCTTTGAAAATTTGATCTAGTAAATAGAATCACTGTTAGGGCCATATGTTTTTCTTTTTTCATTTTTCTGTTTTTCTAAATGTTTATTCTGTGTTGAAATATATCACTTCTTAATTCCTTTTTTTGGAACAGTGTATTTTTTTTCTTATAGGAAATAGGGGAACAGAATAACTCTGAATTGTGTAACTAAGTTACATTTGATATAGTCTAAGTCTGCTGGGATAAAGATACTGATATTTGATTATAAAATTATTTTTTATCAGAAAGGCCTTCTAAATAGATTAAAAATATAAATAGTATTAAATTGACTTCAAGTCTATTTAATTTTTTCCCGTGACTTACTGCTGTGAACTATCTTTATAATTGAGTTTGCCCATTCTGTAGTATTATCCTTCAAGTTGATTAGAAGCAACTTGTGTGCAGACAGTCCTGAGGAGACCTGATAGGCTGGGGTCAGAGGGAAGGGGGGGAGGACCTCCCCTATCCGTAGACTGGGGAGGGGCATGGGAGGAGAAGAGGGAGGGAGGGTGGGACTGGGAGGGGATGAGGATGGGGGCTACAGCTGGGATACAAGGTGAATCAATTGTGATAAATAAAAAAATAAATAAAATTTAAAAAAGAAGTAACTTATGATAGCCTCTGTAACTTCCACTATTCCTTGATTATAGGAACAGTTGTTGATGTGAATCATGGAATCATTTGTGAAAATGTTCCCATAATTACACCAGCGGGAGAAGTGGTGGCTTCCAGGCTGAACTTCAAAGTAAGATGATATTCAAGAATCTTCTGATTGTTGGCCTCACACTAATAGAAAACAACTCAGAATTCATGTACCTTATGTTAAATTCTTGGAGAGGAGCATGTGGAAAAGGGGAAATCAAAAAGGTATGCACAGTGGCTCAGTTGTGGAAGCAGTATCTTCCTCAAAAAGCAGAGAGAAAAGAAAACTTTGATTTCTGCTGCTTTAGTGCCTGGTTGAAAATCAAATTACAGATCAATGAGAGGCGATCAAGGTAGCTCTGGAGAACAAGAAGAAATCTCAGAAATTAATATCTGGAAATGAATTTTAGCTTTTAAAAAACTTTTTAAGAAATCTATAAGACTATACTTTCACATACTTTCTGAAATATTACCTTTTCCTAAAGGTCATTATCAAATTCAAATTTACTAATATGTGTTTTCTAATTTTGATTTTGACCTTAAATAATCAGAAGATTCGTTGATTCAACTTGAGCTTTCAGTTCTGTTGAAAATTATTTAATATCCTATATTTTAATTACAAAACTAATAAATACAAAAACACTGTGTAAGCCCAAGGCCCTGTGAAATTTAAACATATAATTTAGACTAGGTATAAGATAGCAAACATGTTATATTAGTTACTTATGTCATTGTGTTCTTACACTGGTAACTTATAAAAAAGTTTTTAGTTTATTTGAGATTGAGCTGCTTCACTGCTTGGGGCCTGAGGTATAGTTGGACATCTGCCAGGAAATGTAGAAATGAGGGTCCTTACTGAAAGCAAGGTAGCAAGTAGAAAAAGAGAATACATAAAGGTCAGGCCCAGGGACACAGTCTCGCTGACCTTCTTCCTCCAGGTGGGAATCAAGTCCAAGGCTTCCCACCACCTTCCAAAATGAACTGGAATTGGAGACTTACTGATCAACACATGGTCCCATAAAAGACATTTCTGATTCAAACCATATCAACTATAATAAAGGCATTTGAGCCACGTTTAAACAAAGGCATGATCAGACCTCATAATCAAATTAGGAACATCGTAATACAAATGACTTTAAAATAGATCTTAGCCTAAGCTTCATTATTCGAGATATATTTGCAATTGAACAGAGTTACTGGAAGTTGAAAGGAGAGGATGAGATGCTTGGAACACAGGGAAATCCTGTTAATAAATTAAAGAGAAATTGTTTGGTCGGGATTTATTGTTTGTTATAAACCCATAGAAAGGTCTTATTATTAGGCTCTGGCATGAGTACCAATTAGCTACTCATTGCAAATATGTAATATTTTATTTTCTATTGATAGTTTAGCATATTAGCTGAGGATGCTGCTGAGTGTGTAGAGTGATTGCCTGGCGTGCAAAGGCCTTCAGTTCAATCCTCACTCTGGAAAACAAAGGAACAAAACTGTGTTTTTGTTGTTGCATTGGTCAGTTTTGGTAATAGAATACTGATTCTTGTTGCCTTAATTTTTCAATAGATAGACGTCAAAGGTTGAATATTGCTGTCTTTTAACCATGTCACTGTAGAACCATAATACTTCAAAGAAAAACTCAGAGCTCAGTCTCTTGTGTAAAATAAACAATAATCTAGTGGAAGACTCATACAGATATTTAAGATGCTATGAAGATGCACATTGTTATAATATACTATTTGCTATTATTTTTGCCTTAGGAACTTGTATTTTAATTCTAATATCCCTAGAATTGGATAAAAACTTGTGTTTCTTCAGTATTGATTGGAAAATACACACCTGTTGAGGAAAATAATTTTTATCCTTTTGTTGGTCTTCAAAATTAAAATTATGACTTAGGGGGGAAAAATCCGAAGTATGAGATTTTTTTTTTAACTCACACTCAGTATTTGCTGAGAAGTTATGCTAAGAAAATAGCAATATAAAAGGCTCTTCAATTATCACCTTAAAAGTTGTTAAATTTCTAAGTACGCCTAATAGAAATTGATGCTTTGACAACATTCTGTGAATGTACTGTTCACCATGGCATGTACCTTCCGATACTCTTTCAGAGAGTCCTCATGCATCTATCAAAGTAATCATCCATCGTCAAGAGTCTAGTGGAAAAGAAGCAGCGAGACAGAGCTCCTGCTCTTTGGGTTCTCCACAGGACTTTCTGGAATGCTATCACTCTACCTCTGTCTTTGATCTTTGGCAGTGTGTCTTGTGTTTGTTGGGAACATGGATGTCTTTATCCGTTCAGTGAAAATATATGTTCATATATGTGTATATGCACCTACATCCTGTCGATGTCTACCTCTCACCCTTTCATCTTATTTTTATTTTTGCATCACTAACTGTAAATCAAATCAAATTTGTAAGCAGTGTTCCTGCTCTTGCTCTTCATGATGTCCTGCAAGGGAGACAGGAAGGCAACCTCTCCACCCTACTGAAGAGAATGAAAAGTCACGAGGTCTAATGTTTACATTTAATAGATAACTAAGACGAACAATCAAGGGGAGCTCCTGATAAGTGATTAATAAATAAAACTTGTTTTACCAGTGAATAGTATATATTCTCCACTTACATAGACAGAGGAATGTTTTATGTTATACAGTCTTCCTAAATATCCTTAAGGAATGGGTTCCATGATACCCCAATCTGATAGCTTTAAAATCCATTATGTGCAATTTTATACAGAATATGTAAAAAGATTCTGTACATATTTGATATAGATGCAACCATTTATTTTTCCAAGTATTTTCAATCTTCAGTTGGCTGATTTCTCAGAAGTGGAGTCATGAATATGGAGACTCAACTATACATGTTTAAACTCAAGCCTAGGCATACCCTGCATTATAATTTCCTTGCTTTCTTCTGTCTTGGTTTCATAAGTGTATTTTTTACACTGTGAATGAAGCAGAATTTGAATAATCTTTTCTCTCTGATTATGTGATTTTGTAGCATTTCAGACACTAAAGTACAAAATTAAGAACCCAGTTGGCTCCTTGGATAAATATGCTTTATAGTATATTCAGCTTACATTTGCTTTTGTATTTTATATAAATTTAATTAGATAGTAATATAATTAAAACAAAATGTAATTTTAATTTAAACCTCATTATTTGTCTTCTTTAGTGTGTAGTTAATTTCTCTACATGTGTGTAGATCTGATAAAAAACAAATCTTAGTTGAAGTGTTGAAAAGCCAGTGTTCATTCTAAAAAAATTCTTTTTCTTTGCAGTTAATTATTTTGTGATACTTTTAGCTTCAGAGAATAGTCAAAGCCAAACTTGAGGTTCTAATCCTGTCTTTCTATTTAAGGTTATCATATGATTGAGTGCTTTAAAAAAATACTTAAAAATGCTACCAAATGAAGTAATTATTAAATATTGCAGCTTATAATTTTATATCTAACTTTAGGTAGAAGAAGGGATGCATCTTTTGATAACTGGCCCCAATGGTTGTGGGAAAAGCTCTCTCTTCAGAATCTTAAGTGGCCTGTGGCCTGTGTATGAAGGAGTCCTGTATAAACCACCTCCCCAACATATGTTCTATATTCCACAGAGGTAAGACGTGCTTGACATCAAATGAAGACAATTGCTTTTGCTCTTGAATTGTGTTCATTTCTCAGGCTCTTTGGTTTATGCTCATTTAAAGGTATTTCCATGGAGAGAAACTATTGGGGAAATAAGGATGAGTTCAGTTTTTCCCCAAGTTCTGTCTTACTGCTTTGAATATAATAGATTCTGGATCAATACCACTTCTTACAATTTTCAGATTTGATAACATGTTAAGAATATTAAAAGACTTCAGTTGTCTTAGGAAAGAATAAATGGCTCCAAAGAATAATTCAATGTCATATTATCTTCTTACAGATAAAAATACAGTGTAGGTTCTATACAGATCTTACTATCATGCTACATATACTCATGTGTCCTAAAATCGTCCATTCATGCCTAACAGCCCTGTAAAAGCCTTTATTTTGATTGTGCTAGATAATTAATAATCTTAACTGCCTGAATTAAAGTTGTTTTAAGAATAAGATAAGCATGGAAAAGCAGGTTGTTATCCCAAAATCTTTGTCCATTTACCCTAATAACAACACAGAAGTACCTAAACACAAGGTTCTATACTTGGGAATTTGGAGTATTTTTTGTGGGTGATAGGAAACCAGTTGTAAAGATAAGATCCTCTAGCCCAGAGATTTCTCCAAGTGTCATCCAGGTTCAACAGACATTACATTACACGTATATCCTCTGAGTCACCTTGTGTGTCGCCTGGTTTAAGCAGACAGTGTTTTCTCTGGATCAGAGACGGCTGGTGTGCAACAGAGAACCTCGGATGGGAATGTAGGTCTAGGTAGTATCACACACTTTAGACCCCTCTTTGTTGGTAAATGGTGCTACCATTCTGGCAGTTGGCCTGGCGTTTAGACCATACGCAGGAACTGGGTCCTGTGGATTTGTCTTCTTGCAAATAAGACTCACAGTGGTAGTAGCAGAGTGCTGCCTGGTGTGTCTGGAGGTGAAGAAGTGTGTTAGCTGAAAATGTTAAGTCTTGCCAGAATTGTTGGTACCTGAGTGTAACACAACTACAATGCCCTGTGACACCACAAACATTGTTTCTTTTCTGTCCTTTGGGAAACCTCAGGTTAGGGTTTGTAAGTGAATGTAGTAAGTAGTAATATTTCAATTTTTTACTTAACCTATAACATACAGAACCATGAGAAAAATGGTCTATCCAAAAACATTCTTGATGAAAGTGAAAATGCACAGAAAAGCTTACATTTTACCCATTAGATATTTCATATTATATGAATAAAACACTTCTTGAATATACATGTGATATAGGGACAAAAGTTTTCTAAGAAATGGCCAAGTTTATGAAAGAGACTGAATTAACCTTTACTCTCAGAATGAAATAACCATGGTGTATTTTACAATACACAGAAGTCATTAGGAAACTTTTTCTTATGAAATGTATTCTTTCATAAGAATAAAAGTCAACTCTAACCTAGTGTAGGCAAAAATTAAGCACAGGAGTCTATATTTTAATCTTTAAGTGATTATTGTCTTAAGTCAGTTTACCTTAATTAAATGCATGTAAAGGCATGCTGATTATATTTGTACTTAAAATATTATACAGCCGCATGCCTTTCATTTTTGCCTAAACTTTTACTTAAAACACAAAGGTAAACTAAGAAAATCTAATTGTAGCATTTATTTCTTGTATTCTAAAAGTGGTATTTTCAGTTAAATTCTGGGATGATTATATAAGATTCTGTTATGTAAGAGAAGGTAACAGTATGCCTCCTTTAAAATATGTCAGTGAGTGATCTCAGATGACCACATAAGTGACTGATTAATTTTTCACTACTTTCCAGCAATGGAATGTAAGCTTACTACTAGTTTGGCAGAAAAAAACAACACAGAATTGAGGCCTAAGCATAAACTCTGTAAATCATCAAACAGATTTTACATCTAATCACTGTGGTTGAAGTATTTGTTCTTAGAGGATGGATCTCTTTATGCATTCATTAAATGAAAAATACATTTCTACCTTCATTGGGGGAAGCAAAGTAGGTTTTACCAGAGTGGGTTTCTTAAATTATGCAGTAAGCAAAATAAAACTACTCAGAGAAGAATAAACACTTGTTTTGTTTTGTTTTGTTTTTTTGTTTTGTTTTGTTTTGTTTTTTAACCAAACCTCCATACACAGAGACCCAAACAAAAATGCTACTCTGGCTCAGTTTCTAAATTGGGAAACATGAATTCCTGAGAAATTGTGAAATCACCCCAGTATTTTCCCAGTTGGTGTCTTCTAATGCTTTAGCAATGTTAATAATAAAAACCAGAGCTTTGGATATCTGAGCCTGAGTGCAGAAATATAGACTTATTCTGTGCAGATTGGGTTCAAACTATTTTCCCTTACCCCGTCTTCATCATTGACAGACTATAAGAACTGGAGCATCTGTAGGATTTAGGACAGAACATTTCATCTGAAATGTACATTGTCCACTGTGCTTCTGTAGGAAGATGAAGGGCAAAATGTTGGGGCTTTGCTCAAATCTTACCTGGAAACATACTCACTCGAGACTTTGCCACCAAGTCTGAATGTCCCGCGTGATATTACTGTACTCCTTAATCAGATGGCTGCTGGATCAGTTCTCCTATTCTTGCTGTGTTTTCTCTTCTTCCAAAGCCTCTAATGAAACGCATGTGACCCTCTACTCTTGCTTTCATTTCTTCACTAATTTATGGCTCCTTTACTGACATTCCTTGGTGAGTTTCTGCTGCACCGGTCACAGCCCCCAAAGCCAGCTTTTATGTGTGTTTACTTAGGTGTTTTTTTTTTTTTTTTTTTTTTTTTTTTTTTTTTGATCAGCACTGACAGTGAACTAACAGTCATCAAAAGGAGAAATTGAAATATGGGATTTGAGAGAACATATAGGGAAGGAAGGGGAAAGGAAGAATGACAGAATGGCAGCCTTGTGGTCCCTTATGCTGCTTTAGCTAATCCCCAGGGGATCATTTGCATGCTTCACACTCTCTTCTCTGCAGCTGTCTATAGTTGGGCACAACCGACCATGGGATTGTACTTCAGATTTTCCTGCTCTCGCTATTCTTCCTTGGAAGAACTCTCACAGGAGAGAAATACTAACAAATAGCTACTTACTACTCAAAATCACATGTCCATACACTACATCAAGCAATCTGAGGTAGATTTAGACCCCCCCTACAGTCACATTTCAAAATTTGTATAAGTTCTGTTTATCTATGACTCTGAGTCTGACAAATATAACATTAGCAAAATGAGAGAAGGATTGGACTTACAAGGATTGTACTAAACTGACACTCTTTCTGGGGTTGGGTAGAGCTTGTGTTGAATCCTTGGCTTCAAGCATGCTGAGCACACTCTCTCTCTCACTGAGCTTCACCCCCAAAACTGAATGATTGACAGATTTCCTTTCTATTGGCAAGTCTGCCCGCATCTCACACTATGAACCATCTGTCTGTTCTGTTACTTGCACTGGGTACATTGCCTAATCCTCTTTGTGATGGAGAAATATCTGTCAATTAACAGCTCTTTCTAAAGGAAATTACGTAAGCACTGAAGAAGGCTCAACAGAGTTTTGAGGCTAATTCCTTGTTTATAAGCAATAGATGCACAAAGGTGGATGTTGTGATTTTTATAACATTAAATATCTCTTTTGAGGAAGGATATTGAGCTTCAAGCACTCACATCTTGCACTTGCTGTGCATGAGAAAGTCTAATGATGGTTCAACCTGTGCAATTTTCTGTGATTGACAGTGAGTAGTCATGGTTTGCCCCGCCTTCCTGCGGTTGGTCTCATATCTGCGGAAATGGCGTATCACTCTCCAACTATACACTCCCCGTGCCTTAGAGTTCTAAAATGTTGTCGAATTTTTATAGGCATTGTCCAGTCAAACTACATAGTTGTAAATTTCCATCTTTTCTTATTTAAATCATTCTTGTTAATTTAATTTCTTTAGAGCTTGAGTTATTTTATTTGTGCTCAACTGAAGAAATATTTAGCATTTTAGATTATTGTTTCAGAGACTTGAGCACAAAGATAGAATTTATACTTTTTAATGTGCTCCCCTTCGTTCTTCCTTTGTCTCAAATATACAATAAAAAAAACATAAGAATCTAAAACAATAAATTATATCAAAAAGAAAAATATTTGATAGTTAAATGTTAGCACAGAAAAATTAGAGCATAAGTCAAAAATTTAAAATATCTAAAATGTTTGTAATAACTATTAACCAGAAAGATAATTATTGGGAATGGATACTATTTTAAATACTTTAACTATGACAGTTAATCATTTTTTTTAAAAAGTGTAAATGTAATATTTTACAGAAAAACAATTACAGTTTTTTGTTTTTTACTAAAATTCCTTCTCAAGAGAAGCAAAATTTATTGCAGGAGCATATATTTCAGATATTTCTATTAGGGTCTTGAATCTGAGTATGAAATTAAACATTATGAAGCTACAATTATTTTGCTTCATCTGTGAAGGGCCCTCATAAGATAAATTTCTCGCTGTCCATTAGATAAAATTAGCTGTTTTTGAAATATAATCATTTAATTATTACCACAATGCATTCTTATTAATATATCATATATAATTTTATTGTATAAATATATAACATTATATTATCTAATTTAGATTATATAAATAATATATAAAGCATACACAAACATGTAATATACTAATTATTAGTATGATTATTAATCATTTTAAATTTTTATTTATTTTTTTATTAATTAGTTTATTCACTTTGTATCCCAGATGTAGCCCCCTCCCTCTCCCTTTTCAATCCCATACTCCCCTTTCTCATCATCTCCCATGCCCCTTCCCAAGTTCACTGTTAGGGAAGGTCCCATTCCTCTTCCCTCTGACCCTAGTCTATCAGGTCTCATCAGGACTGGCTGCATTGTCTTCCTCTGTGGCCTGATAAGGCTGCTCCACTCTCAAGGGGAGGTGATCAAAGAGCCAGCCACTGAGTTCATGTAAGAGACAGTTTCTGTTCCCATTACTAAGGTACCCACTTGTATACTGAGCTGCCATGGGCTACATCTGTGCAGGGGTTCTAGGTTATCTCCATGAATGGTCCTTGGTTGGAGTATCAGCCTCAGAAAAGACCCCTGTGCCAAGATTTCTTGGTTCTGTTGCTCTCTTTGTGGAGCTCCTGTCCCTTCCAGATCTTTCTATCTCCCCCTTCTTTCATAAGATTCCCTGCACTCTGCCCGAAGTTTGGCTGTGAGTCTCAGCATCTGCTTTGATACCTTGCTGGTTAGAGTCTTTCAAAGGCATTAATTTTTATATAAGTGCCATGTTAAAATATAGTATTTAGAAATTAATACTAAAAATTAAGAAATCATAAATATTAAGTCTTTTGGTGAAGTTACAGGTTGACCCTGCTTTTTTATAACAATGAAAGCACCTGACGACCCTTTGAGTTTGAGTTCGTTGAAGCCCTCTAAACCGCATCAGTGAACTAGATGTCACCAGAAGAAAGGCTTCTAGATAACTGGAAGTACCATCTTTAAAGTCTACACAGAAACCCATTATTCATTAACCACATCAAGTAAAATAAAATTTACTATTGGGTAAAAGCTAGCAGACAGTTATCTGATGAAAGTAAATTATTTTGCATTCACTTGTTCTCCTTTACAAAACGTGTTTTTTCCCAGTGCTTGGGATCACCTGACACTGAGCAAAAGTCATCCATCAGGGAGATACATCTCCATCACTCCTTTAAGCTTTGTTTTCACGTAGAGAGCTCAAGAGAAACGAACTTTCTATTTAAAGGATGAGCACTTAGTGAGCACCTTCCTTTGTACCAACCTGACGGTAATCTCACCGCATTACTTAGTTTAGCTGCTTCGTTCTGTACTCATGATAAATGGAATGGAATAAGTGACTTTACAAACAAACTAGGTCAAGTTCAGAGTTGAGTGACAGTACTACATGGTGAGATTAGGAGTACATCCCAGAACCACCTTTCTATAGCCCATCATCCACAACCGTTTCTCTATACTGTAGATCATACAGCATAGTGAGTTGAAATGTGGATGTAAATGATGACTTCATCAAATATTAGCCCTTTGTCAGGGTGTATGGCAAAGCCTTTAGAAGTGCCCCAGACTGGCTGTGTAGGTAGCTTTGTCATTGCAGTCTTGACTGTGAAATGTGACAGGACTTCTCTTTTCCTTAACATCTATGCTATATGCTGAGGTGGAAAGGCGTGTACACCTACTGGCTTGGGCTAAGTTGGAGCCAGCATCAATTTAAAGGAAGTAAAGGTTCTCTTTCTTAAGGATCGGAGTAGCTACTGAGCACCCCATGACAGTTGCACAGTGTCCCTACTTTATACCAATGCTACAGTTACCACTCATAGATGTGAATTTAAGAAAATTCTCCTTAAGATGGTGTGTGTAAGCAAATGAACATGGACTGCAGTTCTGCTGTAAGAAGATGTGGTTAGAATGGGAAAGTAAAGTAAAGGGCTAAAGGATAAATCCTAAATGTATGATGGAAATGTGGCTGGAAATGGTTCAGTCATTTTGGAAAACAGCCTGGCAATGGCCTAGAAAGCTCTTTGCCTGCACAGTTCTATTTACTGGTGTGCATAATGGCCCAAAGTGGGAAACAACGCAACATCCTTCAGTAGAAGAAGGAGTGCATCAAACGTGGCACACACCTACAATACAATGTTATAATATTATTCAGCCCTAAAATGCAATGTGGCACATTCTGAAACACCTGAACCTGAGACTGTTTTGCCATTAGGAAGAAGTCAATCACAGAAGAGCATATATTGTGTGAGTCTGGGTATTTGAAATACCCAGAAGAGGCAAATCTGTGGAGATAGAAAACAGACTGGTTTCATGGAGCAGCCAGGATGACAGTGTCTGACCCTAGCTATGGCGTTTCTGGAGGTAGGAGCCAAGAAAAGTATTTTCAAGTTGGGAGTGATGGCCACCTGAGCTGTAGATGTATTAAAAACAACTGAATTATAGACATTAAAAGCTGATACAGTGTTTGAATCATGTGCCAAGTTAAACAGAGATACTTAAGTGTCCCCTTGTATTTGTAAAGATCTTCTATGTATGGGCATAGTTGAAACACAAACATTTTTATTTCAAATATTAGTTAAATATATCGCAAAAATAATTATGCACTATGTGTTTCTCAAAGAAACAGTTTATAAATGAGCATTTGGTGAGCATTTGGTCTGCAAAACATATTTTGTGTTTAAAGCTTTCTTCTCAGAAAAAAACGGCTTCCTTTAATTGTTTCCTTCTGTAGATGCACCCAAATATGTGTGTCTATCTCACCCCTCATTTTCCCTTCATAGAAGGTGACGTACTGTCTCCCGGTGGTTCTCAACTAGGGACAGCATTGTCACCTTGGGGTATTTGTCCTTTTGGAGAGACTTGTAGACATTTTTTGTGTGTGTGTGTGGTCACGTTTGAGGTGATGCTACTGACATCTAGTGGATGAAGGCCAAGTACACCACTAACCTTCCCACAACAGGAAGCCCACGGCAAGGACAAGTCATCTGTCCTCAGCCTATTGATGCTGCTGTTGAGACATCTTCATCAGGCTTCACTTTCCCATTTTTCCTTTTCAGCTGAACGATGGTCAAAGAACTCAGTCTGTATTCCTCCATGTGTACCTGCCTGTCTCTTTAGTGCCTCCTAGTAGCACAGACAGTTGATTCAAGGATTCTACCTGCCTGGTCCTTTCACTTGGTTTTAAATATTTTGACACTACAAATGATACTGCGATGGGTAAATGTAGGCAAGTTTTCCTTTTGGGAATTTTTAGGATCCTATCCTCTGAGAAAAATCTCAAAAGTGGGTCAAAAAAAAAAAAAATGGCATGTCAAGTTTTGAGATTTCCTCCAAAGAGGTTGGGCTTTCACCATTGTATGGAAACATCTGTTTTTCCCCTGTGCCTGTCAGCTGACTGAATTATCAAGCTGTTGAATATTTGCTAATCTGATAAACAAGAAAATCGATGTCGTTTTAATTTACATTTTCTTATTAATAGTCTCTTGCCTTTCAGTTTGCTTGTTTACATAGCTGTAAAAACTCCAAACTTTGTGTTACATGCAAATAATTTTATATGTATAGGAAGAGTCTTTATCAAATATAGTTGCATTAGTCAGGGTTTTCTAGATGAACAGAAACAAATGAAGATAAATAGATAGATAGATACATAGATAGATAGATAGATATTGATTTAAGTAAGAAAAATGACTTAATTAAGAAACTGTATGTATATATATGGGGGTTTATTAGAGTGGCATACAAACTGTGGTCCAGCTAGTCCAACAATGGCTTTCTACCAGCAGAAAGTCTAAGAATCCGGTTGTTGTTCATTCTATGACGCTGAATGTCTCAGCTGGACTTCAATATATTCTAGACACCCTAAAAAGTAGGCTTTGATGCCAGTGAAGGAATGGACTTGACAGGGAAATTGATAGCAAGCAGGCAAAGAGAGAAAGTTCCCTTCTTCCATGTCCTTCATATAGGCTGTCACCAGAAGATGTAGCCCAGATTGAAGATAGATCTTCCCACCTCAAAAGATCAGGATGGAAGTGGGTCTTCCCACTTCAAATGAAATAAATAAATTTTAAAAATGTTCCTCACTGGTGCACCCAGACACTTGGGTTAGATACAAGGTGACAAACAATAGCTATCACAATGGTGAAACAAAATATTTTTTCTGCAGAAAATATCAAGTAGTTTATTACAAAAACATTTCTATATGTATATCTCAATATTTTTTTCATAAACCAGGTATTAGTTTGAAGTCTCTCCAAGAAATATAACGTAAGTCTTTAAATTGAGTGTTTAAAGTCAGCTGAGTTGCAAACAGCAGCATGTGCCCCTGGGCAGGTTAACATGCCTTTACACTAGGATTCACATGTGTTTGGCATTTTGTAGGCCATACATGTCTCTTGGAAGTCTTCGGGATCAAGTCATTTACCCTGATTCAGTGGACGACATGCATGAAAAAGGCTACACAGACCAAGACCTGGAATGCATTCTGCACAGTGTCCACCTCTACCACATAGTGCAGAGAGAAGGAGGTAGAGTATTTCATTCTCTTTAAGGGAGGTCTACATTTATTTACAAAGCAAGCTTGGGTTGTGTGTGATATTGTGTACCGGTAATCTCTCCATTTGGGTCGTGGAGGCAAAAAGACCAGGAACTCAAAGCCACCCTTCCCTATGAAAGTCTGAGGCTAGCCTGGGCTACATTAAAACTTTGTCTCCAAAAAAAAAAAAAAAAAATCAATTAACTAAATAAATAAAGTTGGGTTTGGTATTGGTTACCAAATACCCAACAAAAACAGCCTGAGGGTGGGCAGCCCCTTTTGCTGATGGTTTCAGAGGTATCACTTTGCCGTGGTGTAGAAGATGCCCTATATTTTCACCTGGGAAAGCTGCTGGCTTTCTTCTCCTCATTTTGTCCTTCCAATTCCTTCTCTGGAAGTCAGCCCTCATTAGAAGCAGCACCCTCACTGAGACATAAAGGGGTGGCTTCACAGTGGGTGAGTCCAACTGTCAGAGTGTGTGACAATAGCGACGACTGTCCCAGGTGTCTATGAAGTCTATGATTTCATTTAAATAGATATTATTAGACCATAAGCATGTAAGCAGAGATTTCTCATTTTTCCATTATTGATCTCCTGGTTTTGCTTGTGTTGTGTAATATGACACACTACACTTTTTTTTTTTTAATTACACTTTATTCATTTTGTATCCCCCCATAAGCCCCTCCCTCCTCCCCTCCCGATCCCACCCTCCCTCCCCTTTCTGCATGCATGCCACTCCCCAAGTCCACTGATAGGGGAGGTTCTCCTCTTCTTTCTGATCTTAGTCTATCAGTTCTCATCAAAAGTGGCTGCATTGTCCTCTACTGTGGCCTGGTAAGGCTGCTCCCCCCTCAGGGGGAAGGACACACTACACTTTTACCAAGTCACCATAACACCATATCTGGCAAATTAAAGACCTTGATATTTAAATGTATGAGTATCCCTGAGTTCACCACCATTCTAGATGTATGTAAAATCTATGATGAACTATTTGCTCGCCAGACTCTCTCAGCTTATATTAAATGTGACTTTTGAAAGTGGATCTCACAGAACTTGTTTATTTTCAGTCTCATAATCTTTCTAATATATGTGTGTGTAATATATTATATATATATATATATATGTTTAGACAACAAATAAAAGATTATATAACATAGAAACTCCTTTGTTGGAGGTTTCTTTAAAATAAGGCGTATATGAAAGAGTGTAAATGTGCATGCATAGGAGCTTTCAATCCAATTATTTCCTAATAGTTATGCTTTTAAGTATTTTGGTAAGTCATATGATTTAGTAGCCCAGAAAATTACCTAAAAAGCAAGCCAGAATTCTAGGGTGAACTGCGCATGAATGAATTTCATGCTCTGTTTCCCAGCCTAATTAAATTATTTTGAAATAAACAGTATAGAGCAGTGCTTGAGAATATGGGCTTTCGTCTTAGAGTTAAAGCATCAAATCCTAATTAGCATTGCTCTCTGTGTCCTCAATGGTAAAATGGGTAAAACAGCGATACATTTTTTTCCTTCAAAGTTTCTGAGGATATTAAATGAAAATATATGTGTAGCAATTACTGCAGTGGCACATGCATAACAAGTGAACAGGAATCATAACCTACTCTTTACAATAAGCAAATGAAGGCATGAAAGATAGGACTATATTTCTATTTATGATGTCTGCTCTTGGAGGAAAACAGATTTTCCTTTAGTTTCATGTGGTCAGTACCTTCCCAATTTCACAATTTTACTCTGATACTAAATTCTACATATTATGGGCAAATTAATTAAGTTTGTGATCCTGTGATCCAAATAGAAATTTAAGATAAAGATGAAATATTCTATTTTTTTTTTAGAAGTCATGACATTCTAGAATTATTTTAAAGATGTTCCAAGCCTAGAGTTTCATATATGCTTACCTTGGACACAGAACAAAATTTTTTGTTGTTGTTCTTTTTCTCATAAATAAAAAAGAAGAGTCTCTGGACCTTATTAACATAATAGGAATATAATTTAATAGGAACAGTTACGGTTTGTTGAGTAATTACTGTACAGAATGTACCATGTACAAACAGTTACATATTATTTTGTTCAATGTTCACTGAAGTCTATGGCTGATGCATTGCTATCTCATTGTACAGATGAAACTCAGGGTGCTTCCCTCACGGTTGTTCCCATAACAACTAGCAGAACAGAATCGAACTACACATTTAAGTTTGAAAGACAGGGTTCCACACAAGGCATGGCCTCTGTTCTGATGGGCTCTATGTTCCCTAGCTTTTTAGGCATAAGAGCTATTACGTATTTCCACATATATACATCTTTGCTAAGAAACTAGTTTGACTTAATCTCTAAAAGTGAAGCCTCTATGCAATGCACAGAAATACTTCCACTTACTAGTGTATGGTTTTCTTGGGAAGAAGCCTATGAGATTTATTCAGATCAGCTGATTCTTTGCTTAGACAAGAATGGAGGTAAAAGCTACATTTCATTCTAATAAACAGGTTTCAAAAACAGAAAAGAGGAGAATGGATACAAAGAGACACACATGAGAAGTTTATACATCTTCAAGGAGCAGGGAAATGATTTTCTTGCTACCTGTCTTGGTCTCAGTAAATGGGCATTGGGCTTACAGCTGTTGCTAAGGATGCTGATGGAACCTTCAGGATTTAGTGAGAACAAAGGGGACTAAGTATGTATTAATGAAAATACATAAAACTTAACTTTTCCTTTGGCTGAAAAAAACTCTTCTCTCATGCCTTGTTCTTAGTTCAGGGAACAAACAGCTTCATAGTGATGCAATTTAGATTCATTCCTCAAGTCATCACTTCCATTTCATAAATGTTATACAATCTGGTCATGGGAAACTATTATTTGAACTTTTTTTTTTTCCCTCAGAAGCAAGCTGGCATTTTGAGGGGTTATTTTTGCAATATAGTCTTATAAAAATCTATTTTTAAATAATTTCTAGAAGATTACTCAAAAAATGAACAGAGGTCCCTCTGAAGAGTACAACTTGATGTTGTCAATGGGAAATAATGTCAAAGTCTTTTACTTTAGATACTACTGTACTGATCGTTTTTGAAAGATTTATTTCTAGTTTTGTGGATGTATGTAGTGAGGTAAGGGCACATGAGTACAGGTGCCTGGGGAGGCCAGCAGGGAGTGTTGGAGCCCTTGCAGCTGAGATTCCAGTGGTTGTCAGCCACATGGTTTACATGGGCGCTGGAAACCAAACTTCGCTCCTCTGCGAGAGCAGTGCGTGTCTCCAGCCACGGGATCATGTCTCCAGTCCTGGTATTACGTTTTCTTCTCCCTGCCCTCTTTTACCTCCCCTAACTCCTCTTAGAACCAACCCACACCCTGCGTTATTTTAAATATATTACTTTTATTGTATTTCCTTTTTAAATTTAGGAATAGGGAACACTTCCACATTATTCAAATTTGAAAAATAATTAAGATGTACCTTTAAAAATAGCCTTTCCATCCTTTTCTCTCTAATTTTCAACTCCCTGCTTTGTTTAGTTTCTTATTTACTTCAGGATTGTTTTTTTGCTTTGTTTTGTTTTTGAGACAAAGTGTTACAGTGTAGCCCAGGCTGGCCCCCAAGCATGTTTTGCTGTGGCTAGTTAATTTATACTTTCTAAAACATGCAGTAAACATCATAATACTTCCTAAAGGATAAAAAAAAAAAAAAAACAGTAACATAAAGATGAATTCTGGTTTAACAACTTACGTTATTCTGTCTTAGGTTCTGATCTTTTAAATGAGAAAAGACAAATTCATATTCTTTTAATTAGCAAAAGAATTAAGTAATTGACCTAATAATAAAACAATAAAGGGTAATAAAATGATAAAGATTCTACTTCTTCTTGTAACCTAAAGGCAAGCTTACTCAGAAATTTCAATAATGATGAAAGGCTGCTGAGGGAGAAGGATAGAGCATGGAGCATGGCCCTTCTCCAGGCGAGAGTTAAACCCTGGACCCTGAAGATGTGGAAATGTTGCCTTTGGTATTTGTCAAGTTTCCACAGTCATTTTTCTTCTCTGAAACTTGGAGTCTCAAAAGTAAAAATGTGGATTTCTTCTTAAGCAATCTTTTCTGGTTGATGATGTAAGATGGTCATAAAAAAAAATTCAAATATTACAAAACTGTTAACTTGAAAAATAAAACTCAGGCAGGGCGTTGGTGGTTCATACCTTTAATCCCAGCACACAGGCTCTGTGATTTTAAGGCCAGCGTGGTTTACAGTGTGAGTTCTAGGACAGCTAGGGCTATACAGGGAAACCCTGTCCTGAAAAAGAAAAAGAAAGAAAAGAAAAGAAAAGAAAAAGGAAAATCATAATTCCATTCCCGGTTGTATGTCTGGCACATGTCTGCACATTTTCAGGGGCGCAGCCATAACATCTGCCGTTCTGAGACTTAGGGTCATTTAAATTTTTCATATATGATTTTCCTATTACGACATATGCATATATATGCTTGCTTTATAAATTAATATTACGCAATTATTAATTAAGACGTTTTAAGGGATGGACTGCATAAGCTGCGAAAACTTTAATAAACCTAAACACAGACCCCAGCTCTGATCAGTAACTGTAAGCTCAGAAGCTTCTATTGCTCCATGAATTTTGAATCACCCCCTTGTAAAATGCAAAAGAAAAAGCAACTATCCTGGACGCTGTGGAAGAATGAAAAGACTTGAGTAGATCACGAGGCACGTGGGAGCTGATTAACCTAGGTTCCTCCCACGCTGTTTTGGGGCTGGTGACTGTCCTCTTCAGATTATTAGATCTTGTCTAATAATAACCACCCTCAAAAATCAGCATATGTGTAGCAACCCTTTCAACAGACTGGGGAAGAAACAGATTTTATCGAGTGCCGATGTTTACAACTCTTTTGAGATGTCTGTCGGTGTAAGGAGTTAACACTCCTTGAAAAATGTCATATTTAAAATAAAATACTCATGCATATGGTACTTGAGTCCATTCACATAGTCTACAAAATACAAGACCCTTCTGATTTTCAATCAAAGCAGTCCGGGAACTGCTTGTCTGGAATAGCAGGGATAACAAATCAGCAAAGTTTCCGTAAACTGTATGCTTTTCTTTACTTTATTTTGCTTTATTTTTGATTTTTTAGGATGGGATGCTGTTATGGACTGGAAAGATGTCCTCTCAGGAGGGGAAAAGCAGAGAATGGGTATGGCACGGATGTTTTACCATAAGTAAGTCTGCCGCTTTCAGGAAACGGCCATCCATTACTGACATAACAAGAACGCCATTCAGCGGGATTCAGTAGGCTCCTGTTAGCTTAAGTGACACCTGGCTGGGAGACTGGAGAGATGGCTCAGTGGGTAAAAGGGCCTTCCAGCAGCGTCAACCTGAGTTGGAATCCTAATGCTGCGACCCTTTAATATAGCTCCTCATGTTGGGCTGACCCCAACCATAAAATTATTCTGTTGCTACTTCATAACTATAATTGTGCTACTGTTGTGAATCGTGATGTAAATATCGGATAGGCAGGATGTCTAACGTGTGACTCGCCAGGGGATCACAGCCCACAGGTTGAGAACCTCTGCCCCAGATCCACAAGGTGGAAGGAGAGGCTCAGCAGCCGGGCGCACTGTCCTCTGCCTTCCGCCCGTACAGCGCCACTCACACACTCGTACAAGTGAACAGCAGTAAGCAAGTAAATCAGTGCAACGCCTTGAAACAAGGGTAGGAGAAGACAGAGGGGTCGAATGGCATGTTTAAAGGCTTTCTTACTGCAGGTCTGTGGAATTTTTACTTTGGGGTTTGCTTACTTTTATTGTATTAGATTCTCCAAGTGTTTTAGTTTTTAGCTACTTTGCATGTTGAGTAACCTTAAATAGAGTGATGTTCAGAGTTCCAGATTAAATTTTTGTGTGTTCTAAAATTTAAAATACTATTTTTACTAGTTTTAAAGTGTGAAGGACACATAACCACTAAATAACTGGTTAAACCAGTAGCTATACATTTGAAAATTTCTCTGAACTGTTAAATTGGATCTAAATCAGAATCTCTGAAATATATTATAAATAATCATACTCCATATGCATTACATTTAGCTACTTATTTATTATCTATCTACCTATCTATGTATCTATAGATATCTATAGATATCTTTAGATATCATCTATCCATCTCCCTATCAATTATATATGAGCATCTGTTTATCAATCATCTATTTTCTATATATCCATCTATCTATCTTTTTAGTGTGTATATGTACATGTTTTTATGTGTGCATGTGAGTATGTGTGCATTTATGTCTCATCTGCATATCAGAGAACAATTTGCAGGAAATAATTTCTCTCCTTCCATCTTGTGAGTTCTAGTATCAAATTCCTGTCATCAGGCTTGCCAGCAGAAAGCTCATTTACCAGCTGAGCCAATTTTTTTTTCCATCGTACATTTCAAACCGCTTACTTTTGTTATTTAGAATAACAGACCAACATTTTAGGTTGGTCTGTTTGCTTGTAATCTTACTCTGCTAATTTCCATTTTTCTTAAAAGCAGGCAATTAGAGTAAAAAATGATTGGTTAGAGCTAGGTGCAAGCTTTTTATAAGATGATAGCATGTATTGTTTATCCTTAAGAGAATATACCATAATTGCATATTAATTTAGAATACACAGATAAATGAAAAGAATTAAAATCTCCCACCTTGTTAGCTGTCAAAACATTGTGAACATGTTGACTAAGTTTCTTCCCAGTCTTAGTACATATAGTTGGCTGGAGTCTCAATTGTTTTCATGTGTTTCATAATTTATAATTTATATCCCTTCTCTAGTTCCATATGCTATCATATGGTTCTCATTGTTAGCATAGGATACTTAGCCAGAGTTTATTGTCATTATTATAATAACTATATACTAAGTGTATAATTCAGAAAGCTTTTATAAATATAAGTACATCATGTAACATAATGTCCATCTCAACCAAGATGGTAATTTTATTACCCTGGAAAGGGCTCTCAATCTGCTTTTTGGCCATGTTGTACATATGCCCTTTCTTTTCTTATTGGTTTATCTTCTTTACAGTCTCATGTAGATGAAATCATATACTATGCAGTTTTGTGTATAGCTGTGATTTTTAGTGGCATAATTGGTTGTCTTAACAATGCCTTAATATGTGTAATACTTATAATAAATTTACATTGTTAGTCTGAGACTAGAGTGTACTTTTAAAAAAAAAATGAACTGAATTTTTCCAATTCTGCATTTTTCATGTTGTGCTTTGAAATACTGCTGGCTCTGGTGAGACTCAAGGGCAAACTGTAGCTTGACATTTATGACCAGCTGTTAGCTCCTCTCTGTGAATTGGCTTGGGTTTCATCCGTAAATACTCAGTAATATGATCAAGCAACACAGCCTCTGAAGCATGATGCAGCAGACTGCAAGTGTGACCAGTTCCCCGTGTCTTAGTGTTAATAAGATAAGCCTCTCAATAACAGCGAGAGACACCAAGAAAGGATTTTAACCCAATATTTCAAGTACCTGCTGTTTAGAATAACCGGTATTTGTGAGTGTAAAATGTACTGTGTATAAAATAATAATGACTGAAGATCAAGTCAGTTCTGTGTTATCAAGGAAGACAAGGACATAGTTAAAAGACGGCACTTTTGCAAATGAATCAAGTTTAAACACATTGAAGGAAAAGTAAAATGTGTCCTCACAAGGTCAATAAGGTTATGAGAATGAGACCTTAAAACATACTGAGCTTTGATAGGAAAGATCAGAGCCAACAGAGAACTCTTCTTAGAAATTATACACAGTAAAATATGGCTTATGAGAGATTTAAAAATTTACTATTTAAAGACTAGCTTGACAAATCCTGTCTTGAGATAATTTTGTACCTTCATATATCCTAGGGTGGTAGTGAGGTAGCGGGGGGGGGGGGGGCGGAAACAAAGGTAAAACTCTAAGATTTGATGTCATTTAACACTGTATTAATTCTGTAAGTGCTCAATCTTAGCTGTGTTGTTTGATATATTTAAACATGCAACACACACACCACACAGAGCCTAACACTGCCAAGGAAACAAAAATGAATGATCCATCCTACATTCATTAGACTAGGACTTGCTCTGATGACAGAATATAAAATATACTTTTTTTTTCTGTTTCAAAATAATGTCTCTTCTTTAGTTAATGGACTCTAAAGAGTAAGACAAAATATAACAAAGTGCTGAGAATAGCTTTATGCAAACTGAAAAGTTGCCCTAGATTTTTCTCTTGTATGCTTTTCTTCACCTTTTCTATTTAAATAGAATCACAAATAATAAAGAACACTCGGAGAAGCAATATTTAATAGATAAGAGCCAACACCCAAAGCTACTCCACTGTTTTCTTGGGGAGTGCAGTGATCATTAAGCAGTTTCACAATCCTCTGGGGCATTAGAAACGCCTTTTTGTTCCTGTAGCTATCACCCTTTACCATCATCTTCAGAATAGGTAACAGGATCCTATTAATAAGCAAACACAGGTGAGACAGTAACTTACAATGATAAAGAATTATTTATGTAAAATGAGAAATTTCTACTGATTTGATGTTGGTGGCCATGAATTTGAAAGAGAACAAGGTCAGGTACATGGGAGGTCTCAGAGGGAAAGGGGAAAAGGGAAAATTATGTAATTATATTATGATCTCAAAAAATTAAAAATCGATAAATAAAAATAATATCATGGTGGAAATGGCCCTAAAAACTTGAAAACTGATTTTCAAAACTAAAATGAAAGCATCAAATGACGGTCTCCGTGTTGACTTTAGTGGTGTTAACTAAGCTAGGCTGGGTTCCTGGCCAAGCAGGAAAAAAGAACAGCTGCTTTTTGCTTCATCACTTCCTACCACGAACAATGTCACATTCTCCTCAAGGCCTCCAAAGTTGTCAGGATACAACTATTGTTTAAAGACAGACCCAATTCAGAGACAGTTCACTCATCTAACTGTATTTTTTTTTTTTCAGACCAAAGTATGCATTGCTGGATGAATGTACCAGTGCTGTGAGCATTGATGTTGAAGGAAAGATATTTCAGGCTGCTATAGGGGCTGGAATTTCCTTACTGTCCATAACACACAGGCCTTCTCTGTGGTAGGTACTTCTAGCATCCTCTGGGATGGAAGTTTTGTCTGTTCTTCTTAAAGGATAACTATGCTAAATGTTTCTGTGTAGAGTGTAAAGCATTTCATTTGTTTTTTATCTGTCTTAGCTCCCCATGGCCTAATGGAACTTTAATAAGTTCTGTGAAAATGAACATCACCTTCTAGTCATTTTGAAAAGTTACAAGAGAATCAGACGGTTGATCTGAACTAAAAAATTTTTTTTTATAAATCTTTTATTTATTTTTTATTAATTACACTTTATTCATTTTGTATCCCCCCATAAGCCCCTCCCTCCTCCCCTGCCAATCCTACCCTCCCTCCCCTTTCTGCATGCATGCCACTCCCCAAGTCCACTGATAGGGGAGGTCCTCCTCTCCTTCTTTCTGATCTTAGTCTATCAGTTCTCATCAAAAGTGGCTGCATTGTCCTCTACTGTGGCCTGGTAAGGCTGCTCCCCCCCAGGGGGAAGTGATCAAAGAGCAGGCCAATCAGATTATGTCAGAGGCAGTCCCTCTTCCCATTACTATGTAACCCACTTGGACACTGAACTGCCATGGGCTACACCTGTGCAGGGGTTCCAGGTCATCTCCACAAATAGTCCTTGGTTGGAGTAGGAGTCTCTGGGAAGTTCCCTGTGTTCAAATTATCTTGTTCTGTTGCTCTGCTTGTGGAGTTCCCGTTCCCTCCAGCTCTTACTATTTCCCACTTCTTACATAAAATTCCATTCACTCTGCCCTATTTTTCATAATACTAGAAGGTACCATGAAAGATTATGAAGTGGTATTTGGTTACATAATCTCTTTAAACATTTTCTGTAAAATCCAGGAAAAAAAAAATTTAAAATGCTATAACTTTATAGTTCCCATTAAATCACAGAATTGTAAACAATAATATATAAGCAAAAGACCAGTCAAGTTTAAGAATAAAATACCCAGACAAGGCATTATGAGACAGAAAAACGTCCAGAATGCCGCTGAATTTGGTTTGTGTTGGCTTGTCTTAAAGTGTATTTTATATCCCCAGTGAGACTCCATGGGAGAAAAGTTGTTTTTTTTTTCTTTGAGAGAAGTTCTTGACTGGAGATAGCTACTAAGTTATGGGTAAAGGATTGTGATGCTTTCCCTCTCAGCACTGGCAACTTACCTGGCTTAGACCTCATATGCAGGCCCTGCACACGCTGCCACAGTCTCTGAGTTCATTGTTCATCAGTCCTGTAGTACCCTCAGATTCCTCCTTTGCCTCTGGTTCTTAAATTCTTTCAGCATCCTTTTCTACAGGGTTCCCTTACCTCTCAGGCGGAAGAATTTGATGGCGACAGCCCATGTAGGATAGAGTGTTACAAGGTATCTTACTCTCCACATGTCCAGCTATGAATCTCTGTATTTATTCCATCTACTGCAAGAGGAAGCATCTCTGATAATAGCTGATCAAGACACTGATTTGTGAATATAGCAGAGTTGTTAGGAGTCCTTTTTTTTTTTTTTTTTTTTTTTTTTTTTTTTTTTTTTTTTTTTTTT